AAAAAAAAAAAAAAAAAAAAAAAAAAAAAAAACGGTTCAAAGCAGGCGTGGGCAAAATAGTTGAGGGGCAATTTATGCAGGAGTGCTTGCCAATTTGTGCTTCCCTTATATGCGTTGCTCAAAGTGTTGCGCTTTCTTTTATTCAGAGTTTTGAAGGTTCATAATATAGGGCATTTACACTTTAAAGAAGAAAAGAGGAATGAACTTTTTTTTTTTTTTTTTTTCCTCTACACTATATAACGTGTTTTGTGGTGGAAGAATGGGGCTGAGCTTATTCTCCTTAGCAGTATACACAAGTGTGAAGATTTTTAATGCAGAGAAGCTTCTGAGCTGATAAATTGCGAAAGTGAGAAAATGCGAAACGGTAAAATTGAGAAAATGGGAAATTGCTAAAAGCGCAATGTGCAGAAGTGAGGTAAAATTTAAAAAAGGAGAAAAATTAAAATTTGTAGTATACTTTCGTATGCTTTTTTAGAATGTAAAGTTGAAATTATTTTTGGTAAAATTTATAAATGTAAAAAACACATGTGTAATTTTTTACGGCTTTACAAAAGTAACGTGCAAACCGAGGTGACGCAAATATGAAACTGCCGGTCGGGAGAGACAACGCGGAAAATGAAGGCGCAAATGCAATTTTCGCGAACGGTGATGGGTGTTCGCTTGTTTTGCTTATGGGAGAAAACAGGGATAGGAAGGATTCCCAAAAAAAGGAGTACACCGGTAAAACGGGGTACATGGCAAGGAATTTCCCCGGTAAAAAGGAGTACACAGTAGAAAATGTGTACCCCGTTGAAAACGCGTACACCGGGTGCAAAGCCAACCACGGGGAGGCCCATAAAAACGATGAAAACCTGGTAGAGTGTGCAAAATCCAAGAAGAACGAAGAGAGAGTAATCACAGGAATGATCAAGATCCTTGAGGAAATGAAAGAAAGTGATGATACATCTGATGCTGTAGATCCTGGGATCAACCCAGATGGTCATCAGGAAAGTACTGAGTGCGCTACGCAGGTGCAAAATGAAGAGGATGTCAAACGGAGTACGTGCCCACGTAGAGACGACGCAAAATTGCATGTAGGGTTGGATTATTCCACTTTCTACATTGATACACCATATAAAATTATTAAGTGCATGAATAAAGGTAGCCATTTTCTTTTTTGGAGTAATGACACACTGTGTGGTCAAAGTGACCAAGTGACAAAAGAGTTTAAAATGAATGAAATGAAAAAAAATAACAGCGAGGAGTTAAGAAACAGTAGGTTCATTTTTTTTGATAGGGAGAAAAAACTACTCGTGCTAAAGTATAACATCAGGAGTAACAGTTTTAATTACGTAAGTGAAAGCGACCCTATATATGTGTACTTTCATCAATTACATGAAAAAAAATTTTTAGATGATAATATTATTAAAGAAAAAAAAAACTGGATATTAATTTACCCGTACACATATATGAAAATATGGGAAAGCTTAACTTGTTACATTAACGAGGAGGTAATAAATAAAATTGAACCAGTTAATAAAACCTTTTGTTCCTCCTTATTGGAAGAAGAACATGAAGAAGAAAAAAAAAAAAAAAAAAAAAAAAAGGGGGGGGGTACAGATTTGCTTAGGGAAGAAGAGATGAATCTGTGCAATCAGCCCTACATGTTTTATTCCGTGATTCCAAAGTACCCCTCCAGTAAGACTTACCCAAAGGAGGGGATAGTCAGCGGTGCTAGTCGGCATAAGAAGGAAGACAATGTAGGGGTGAATACTACAGAGGTTGACGGAGCAGGCGGCATCAATATGGAGGGTGAGGATGTAGCATGTTCGGATTTATCGGTCGCTGACCATGAGGTTAACCCCGATGAGCCGCCTAACGACCATTTGGAAAGCGCGAATGAGAGCTACTTCGAACGCATCGATGTAGATGCTAAACATAAGAAGTATGTGCCGTCCGACTTAACCATCATCCATCTGGAGAAGTATTGGATTCTGAAGGAGATAATTCAGCAAGAATATACTTATGTGTATTATGAGAATGAGAAGAAGGAAGGCTTTCACAAGTTTGAAAATAAGCTTTTTTACATTTTGGGAGAATTTCAGTTTGCTTATATTCTCTTCCATTTAGGTTTTAACTACCAGTCCTTCGTTCAGTGGCGGAAGCTGTTTGAGCTCCTTTCCAATTCGCAGCACTTGGTGACCAACTTTGCAGGTGAGGGGGGTTAGGAGAGTGCCAATTACACTTTTTTTCGTGCAAGGGAAGGATAAGGGTGACGGATTGGTTGCTGTGTTTGAGGGGCTTCGTGTGGAGAGCCATTTTTTCCATGTTGTTTTAGTTTGCCCAATTGTTGCACGTCTTCCCCTTTTGTTTACTTCTTCTCCCTTTAGACTTTTTCGAAGAAGCCTTAAGAGTCATTTCCATCCACCTAAGCTACCTCAGTGATGACTTTTTTGACAACACTGAAAACAGTTTTATTCTTTTTGGAGTTTACAACATATACGAAATAGTTAGTAGCGTGGGTGAGGTGCAGGAGGGCATAACCAACGTGATGAATTCCATAGACTCTATAATTTACGCAAAGCTGGGGTTACATTTGCCCGACCTCTCCTTTGTGTATGAAGAGTTCCAGCCCACGTACGTAGATGAAGTTTAGCAGTACGAGGGACGCGCGATGACATGGTCAGGAAATTCGGGTAAAGAAAAAACAGAGGGGCTTACATAACCCTTCAGTTGTGATACCTCCAAATTAGATTGCACAATGCTGTCGGATTTTTCTTTCATGTGATATTTTTACGTACAAAAACTGTATGAAAAAGTGCAGCACGCAAACAAACACTTTCATAAATTTTGTTTTGTTTTGTATTATATTCGAAGGAAGAAATTAATATTCTTTATCTTTTTCACTTTGTTTGGCTTGATTTGGTTTCATTTGTGTTCATTTCATTTTTTTTCGACTTGTGCTACGTTTTTTCAGTTCCCTTGGGGATACATTTTCGCGTAATAGCATTTTACACCGAACAGTTCTTACGCGTGTACGGAATTTGTTGTATGTGCAAACATAAATAAATTTGGTTCAGCTGTGAGATAAATTTTAATTTCATACCGCTGAGCGGCCAAGGTTCAAAGTTTTTTTTTTTTTTTCATCCTATATTTGTATTGAACTGTGGTATGCTATTTTTAGCATGTCATGTGTGCCGATATTCGCAAGTAGCAAAGCCCACACAGTCGATACTGTAGAAATGGAATGCAAAACTGTGGGAATTGCTACTAGGATAAATTAAGAAGTTGGAAAAACCCCATAAAGGAAAAAAAAATTAAAAAAAAAAAAAAAAAAATGAGAATTATCAATAAAAAAAAGATATAATTGTTAATTTACCCCCGCAAATAATTTTTTGTTTCTTTTTTATTTTTTCTCCAGCCCTTTGTGTATAATCGTCATGATTATAACGTAACCGTACTTTTTTTTTCTTTTGCATTTTCCCCTAGATTCGTGCTCCCACTTAAAAAAAAAAAAAAACATTGTTGTGAATGTTTCCACATAGGAAATGGGAAACGGCATAATATGCATATAGGCCCATAATTTATAGGCACATTATTTTCTTTTTCGGTGGCTTCAAAGTACCTCATATTTTGCTGCATTGTATTTTTTTTAAAAGAACATAACAGCTAATACAGCATACGTGCGAAAAAAAAAAAAAAAGGTAATACCAAAAAATAAAACAATATGAAAAAAACATGGTATAACTTGTTCTACTGTTCAGATGAAAATTTTGCCATGTATTGAAGCTCATAAGAATTGCATCATCGCATTATGTTTTACAAGGAAAAATATGAATTAGCATAGAAGGAATAAATGAAAAGGAAAAGTACGTTGTGACTTTTTCGCTTCGTGCGTCAATTCTTGGCCTTCATTTTTGACCTTCATTTTGGCCTCCCATTTTGCCTACCATTTGGCTACCATTTTGGCCTCCCATTTTGCCTACCATTTGGCTACCATTTTGGCCTCCCATTTTGCCTACCATTTGGCTACCATTTTGGCCTTCATTTTTTGCCTCATACTTTGCCTTCATTTTTTGCCTCATACTTTGCCTTCATTTTTTGTCGTCGTTTTATGCCCACACTTTTTTCGCAATCACCGTGCACATTTTTGTTTTCGATACATCCGTAATTCATGCAGCTACCATTCTGCGTCCCCTACACGAACACCCATTATTGAGCGGCCTACGCTCCCGTTGTTCGTTCTGTCTTGAAGGATTATTTATTTCAAGCGCATTTTTCGACATATATTCAGTGGAGCTGTTTTCTGCCCCACTTCGCAGAGGCGAGCAGCCCTGTGCCAATTGCTGACCGTGCCGGGGTTCCTTGCGAAAGCAGATGATCTTGTACTGTGTGTTCTGAATATTGTGCACGAAGATGGACAGCGAAAACGACAACGAGCAGGGGAAGGAACGTGCGAACGTGCAGGTGAACAATTTGGGGGAGGTACACGAATTTGTGTTCTTCCTAAAGGAGGAGGTAAAGAGGGAGCATATAGAGCTAGTTAAGAATAACATCGAGGACATTTTGAACGGAGGAAACGAAGAGGTCTTTGGGTTGCTTAATTTGTTGTTCTTCACGAAGGATGTCAATTATGTAAGGAACAATTTATGCATTTGTCTGCACCAGTTATCCAGAACACTGAATGAAATAAATGCAGAGGATATGAAAAAGAAGGTTTTTAAATATATATTGAAAAAGTTAGAATATGTGAAGTGTAGCTATTTCGATAGAGCGCTTGTTTGTAAGAAGTTTTTATCCTTTTGTTCAGCATACAAAGATATATCATCAGAATTGAGGAACGTAAAATGCTTCCATGACTTATTTGTGAATTGCTTATCATTCTTAGATAGCCTCTTCTACAGTAATGATAAGTTGAGCGAAACGAGTCACAAATTTCGCATGCTAAAAAAGGGGGCTATCAAAAAGTTGATGGTGATATTTTCCAACATATGTAACATAAATAAGAATGAAAAGGGTGGGGGTAAAGAAGCGAGGGACGCGAACCCAATGAAGGCAGAGGAAGAGATAGATTACATACTAAATATGTACGCGAACGAGAAATATTTTTTCTATCTAATTGTAGAATCCTTTGGTCTATTTTTATGTAAAAACAGCGAAAAGAATATTTTGGATAGAAAAAAATATGTAGACAGATTTAGCAACAAATTTATTAATCTTTTAAATTCAAACAAGGAAATTTTGCTAAAAATTAATAGATCATTTAAGTACATTTTTCAAAATGGAAAGGATGATAAAATATTTCAGAGCATCCTGAATCATATTCATAGGTATGATGAAGTGGCCCTAATCAATGCATCTCCTTTTTATTACTACTGTGGAATATACACCAAGGACCACTTTTACACATTATTAGAAATAATAATAAATATAAAGAAAAACAAAAATGTAAAGAATTGTGACATACTATATTTCATCCTGTTTTATAAATTTCACATAAACAATGAGAATGACTCCGTTTTAAAAATGCTAATTGAAAGAAACCAAAAATTAAATATTGTAAAATTTGATGAGAAGATCATTTTTTTAAAAACCGCCACGTATTTACTTTCTACTAATAGAAGCAAAGAAATAAAGGACATTATTTTGGCCAACAAAAATATGATCACGAACTATCTGAAAAAGGATTTAAATGAAGATGTCAAATTGGAATGTCTAATATTTTTACGAAGTTTCGTGAGTATTATAAAAAATGACAAAGATGTGTACAAAACATTTTCACCACTAGTTTTAGAAATTTTAGAAAAATACGGAAAAAATAATGACAAGTTTTTGCAGTACTGTTTGTTGTTTTATATCGATTTGGTGGATTGTGTCGAAGTTAATGAAAAACTGATTTCCACACTTAAGGCCCACTTAAACTTTTGCTTAACAAAGCAGATTTTAAAATACATTTACGGGATCAACTTGTTCTTACTTCTTTACATAAAGAATAAACACGGCTCCTGTGGTGTTACCATTAACAATCACATTAACGAAATTTTGGCGAAAAGTTTGTACAACCAAAATGAGCTTTTCTACCTATATGATATAATTGAGTTGAAAAAAATTCCCCCTAACAAATTCTTCTTTTATGTTTATTCACTTGTGATGCTTCTCCACTTCCTTCTGAACGAAGACAAGAAGACCCTATCAGAGTATGTTCACGAGATGATGAAGGATTTCCCCACTTTTATTTATTTTGATCAGTTGGCCAAGTCGCACGTACTGCCAGTGCTACTGGGGGAGAAAAAAACCGAGGACGAAAAGAAAAAAAAGGTTGCTGCAAATGTACCACAAGAGAGTAAAAAGGAAGGACTGAAAAAAGATAGCCCCCAAAATAAGCGCAACAATTTACATATGTTGACACTTCTCACCGAGATGTGCATTTTGCACTACTTGGAAGAAAAAAAATTCGACAAAAATGAGTACAGAAAAAAAAATGAGAAAAAATTCCACACTTATTTATTGAGCTTAAAAAAGGGAGGAATTATTAACGAACAGAATTGTGAGTACCAAAATTATGTGGACGACTTTGACATGCTGCTAGACATTTTGCTCATGCAGAAGGAGGTGTTTCAAATTCTGCTGCACTCGTTCTATGTGTACCTCTACATATACTGGAACAGTGGCCCCCGCTTTAGATACGATAATGGGTATGTTTTGAGACGGTTTTTGTTCGTACTTTTGTCTTATGTGGCCAAAATTGAACTGGACCCAACCGAAAGGAAAAATTGCTACTTTCTCTTGTTGCTATGCTTATGCCACCCGTGCATATTTTACAAAAATTTGAGGAGCTCCGTAAGTAGGAGAAGAATGAAGAGGTATATATGTGGCAAAATATTGAGCTGTGTGAATTTAGATGTGGTTATAGCTTTTATCGTAAAGGGTTCCGATTATTACAACAATGAGTTGCACAAGACTGTCTGCTTACATTTGATCGAGGTGTTTTACATTTGGGAAATTTTACCGTCTTGGGAGAACAAGAAAATTGCTAATGGAGTCCAGGTGGGGGAATCAAATGTGTCAATTTTGACAAATCGGGCAGATAGCGGAATGGTTGGGGATACACTCGATAACGAGAAGAAAAGTAAAAACAAAAAGGTAAAATTTTCATTTGGTTATGAGTCTAACTATGAAAAGAACTATTCAGAGGAGGCGAATGAGGATAATGGACGCAAAATTGTAAGCTTACACGATCCTGAAGTTAAGAGGAAGCTAACCGCTTTCACGAGCAAACTGATTGACATGCTAGATGATGTTAGTGTACAAAATGTGAAAGAAGATGAAATCGAAATTTGCAAATGTCCGTTTAACTCTCTCTACGTGGACAAGAATGTGTACCAGCCAACCATCGTTGTTGAAAGCAAAAATGTGAAGAGAAATAAACATCTATTCTCCATGTATGATGAGGAGACTGCGGAAATGATCATGGAGGAAGAGCTGAATAAGAGCAAGAAAGCTACTGCCAGCAGTACTACAAGCCCTGTGAAAGATAAAAAAGGAAATAAAAGCAAAGGGCTAACGAAGGAAGACCTAGAAATGGAAGAAATAAAGAAGCAAAATGAGATAAGGTTAAGAGTACACGAAATAGTAGAACGAAATAAATATATCCTACAGTGTATTAAAAAAATGAGTTACATTGATGATATTTACGACACCAAGTATATAAATCTGTTTATTAAAAAAATTATGGCTTTTTTAAAAAACGATTTAACTAGTAGATATTCACAGGCCTATTTGAATAAAATAATTCAGAACATGATAAGCACAAAATTGTTAACTTGCAAAAATAAGATTACAAGATGTTTGTACAAAATAAGTAAATACAACAAGGCAGACGAGTCAGCACTGATCATTTTCAGCTCCTTCAATATGAATGAAAAGATATCCTACGTACTGACTTTATTGTTATTCCCCATAGTATTACACAGTATTAACATAATAAATGATAAAGACGTAACTCTGAATATTTTGAAGACTTTGGAAGTTCTCATGTACTCAAAAACCAAAATTAACGATGAAGATGCACTCAAGTGTTTACAAATTTCGTTTGAAAAATATCCCGATTTGGACGTAGAATTGGAGTCCTTCCTTGATAACTTCAATTCGTATTTGCTAAGTGAAAAAAATGTAAAGGTGCTCCTCCAACTTTGCATAACGGAGAATGAAAAACGTAGGAACGTTATCATAAAATCGTTGTACAAATTTGTGAAAGATGAAGATGCTAAAGGAGACAAAAACTCATTAGACACCATTTTTAACAACGAATTTATACACCTATATATGAGTATTTTCCAGAATGATTACAATGAGGAGACGCACAGGTGCTGCGAAGAAATGATTCGGATGTTGGGGATTTCTCCCGTCTCAGATCAGTACAAGCTAATAGATTTGCTACAGAAAGAGTGCAGCGATTTTCAAACTATGATCTGTAAAACTATTGTAGGGTCAACGAATAGGAAGCAAGCGAAGGAACTACTCTTACAGCTAACATCCAAGTATATAACGTTTAAGGAGTATGGAAAAATTGGAATATTGAAAACGATGGAAGAGCTGGCCAAGGACAATTTTGTTATCGTTATTGATGATGTAGAATTTATTTTAAATTTTCTGTTAGGGTTATGTTTAGAAGAGAAAAGGGACATTTCGAAAATTAAAGAGTTTGTCCTTACGTGCGGTTCGTGCGTGATTAACTCGTATAATGAATATTTGATTAGAAGTAAGAGGAAGGCGACCAAGAAGAAGGGCAGTCAAAAAGGTACAAAGGGTGCAACGAGCAAAAACGCCAAGGGGAAGAAGAAGTCCCCAAATGGAAAGAATCATTTGAGCGAATCGGAAGATGAAAACTATGCGCAGGACGATGATGACGATTTCAAGTATTACTCCTCAGACGATTCTGCATTATCCACAGAGTTCAGCATGAAGGACAACTCGAAAAATGAAAATAAAGAGTTAGAAGAAGCCTTCCAAAGGATTTACAAAGTGCTGAATAAATATCGCGACAACAAAAAGAGTAATAACAAGAGTGTGGTCGACTTGGTCGTTGTGATGTTGTATGGGTGCTTAGGAGCTAACTTGAAAAAGGAATCCCTTGAGCTGCTAAACAAGTTGATAGGACAGATTCTGCACAACGACACGGACAATTTTACCCAGATTGAGATAAGCCGCATAATCCCTAAATTTATAGAAAATTTAAAATGTGATAAGGAAGACTTTGATGAAGAGTACGAAGATGAGGAGCTTGATGATTTCGATCGGATGAACCCAAACATGACAAGGTCAGTAAATGGCAGGATGAATAATGCGAATAAGAAAAAAACAGTTACTTTTTACATCGATGGGAAGGTTCACAGCTCTACTAAGGGGGCAAAAGGTGGAGCAGCCGCGGTAGCAGCAGATGGTGACAAAAAGGGTGCAAATATAACAACATCATGTGAAGGGAAGGAAAGCGAGAGTGAGACACAACCAGGGGGAGGAAAAAAAGGAAAGAAGAAGACGAAGGGGGATAACAAAAATAGTAGTAGTAATAACTCTCTTAGTAGTAGTGCCCACACAGGTGGACTTATTTACGTGGAAAATTACGATGTAGGTATGTTGGTAGAAAAAATATTTACTATTATTCAAACCCACAAAGATTTGAAAGTGAGAAAAGGGTGCTGCCTACTTCTAGGAAGTGTTATAAAAGCACACGGCATGCATATACTGAAGAGGTTCAACATTTTGGGTAAAATAAACTGCAACATATATTCGGAAGACGTAATTAAGAGGCAGAGTTTTTACCTTACGTATGGATATTTATTCAAAGTGTTGAAAATAAAATTCGAGCCGTACATTTTAAAAAACTTCAAATTGTTGCTAGAATGTTACAAGGATAGTGTAAACAATATAAAGGTTCTTGGAATAAGTGTCATTGAAGAAATTTTAAATGATTTAGGTCAGTACGGATTGAAAAAAATATTACCTTTTATAATTTTTAGCTTAAAAAATTCTAGCATTAGAAATAAAGACATAGTGTCCTATTTGGATACCCTGCATTTAATCATTTCCAAATTTGACATTATCTGCTATGTGGACAATCCGACCTTGGCTAATTTGGTGAACTTACTGTGCGATTTGGTGTCCGAAACAAATTCTAAAGTGAGAGAAATATGCATAAGGATCTTTAACAAATTGGAAAAAATGATACAAAATGTGGAAATGAAGAATATAAGTAGGCAGCTTTTGTTATGTATATATTCTCCAAATGATAATCATTTGTGTGATTTTTTGGACATTTTTTCTGCCATTTCGTTTCAGTACAAAATTGATAATATTTCACTGTGTCTACTTTTCCCAGTTATTAAAAAGGGAATAAATAACATTAGATTGGATCTGAAGAAGAAAGCTTTGCAAATTTTATATTTCCTAATTTATCTGGTGAATGATCAGTCTGTATTCATTATTTACTATGATAGTATATTTAAAAATTTAATCGTTCTTTTGAATGATGCAATTCCAGAGATAAGATTTTTGACGGCTAAATCGGTTGGAAACATTTGCTACTTTTTAGATGTGAACAAAAAGCTTTACTACATTCAGTACATTTTTAATATCCTCATAAACACTGAATCGTCGGTAGAGAAGAGCGGTGTCTCTTTATGCCTGTCGTCCATCTTGGCCAAGTGCTCAGAAACCATTGCTGAGAATTTTATATCTACTGTTGTGCGCCTCATCGATGTGAAGAAATACACCGAGCTGAAGAATAGGCATGGGAAGAAAGGAAAGCAAACCGAAGGTAAAATGATTAAAAGTGGAAAGACAGCAGGGAAGAAAGGAGGAAAGAGAGGCTCTGGAAAAGGCTCCAAATCGGTTGCAAAAGGAAAAGTCGCACTTGAATTTTCAGATGAAGAGGACGACGAGGATGGGGTGCAGTTCGTTGATAGCGACATGGAAGAGGGCTCGTATTCGACCGGAGAAGGGGAGGATGACTTGGACGATGATTATGATGAGGAAGAGGATGATGTAGACGACGATGAAGAGGGGGAATATGACGACGAGGAGGAAGAGAATGACGATGATGAAGAGGAGGGTGACGGCGACGACGACAGCAGCGGGGACGAAATATACACCCGCTCGGACGAAAGCAAAGATGACGATTTTGAAGCGGACGAAGAGGGTTCACCATTGAAGGGAAGAAGGTACTACGACGGGGAAGATGAGGAGGACGACGATGAGGACCAGGAGGAAGAGGATGAAAATGACGACGGGGACGACTCGCTGACCGAAGAAGAAAGCGATAGTGATGATGACATATTGAGCAAAAATGCTGAAAAAAAGTCGACCTATTTGAATGGACTGTACTTAATAGAGAAGAACGAAGAGAATGAGTACCGCATCCAGATAGATGACGATTTGGCCAATTGGAACCTGGTGTATGATAAGAAAATTATAAAAAATGATAATTCGAAGGAGGGACTAATTGGCTTCTTCATATACATCCCGGAGTGTGCCCCGAGATATACAGAGAATTTTTTAAAAAAAATATTGCAAAAGTTGCTACTCTGCCTTAACGACACAAGTGAGAAAATAAGGGACATAGCCCTGAGGGCATGCAAGGTACTGATAAGCATATTCTCCAGAAACAATACGTCGCTCATTTTAAAGTTCATCGAAAATAAGATATATAATAGCTACTGGAGAATTAGAAAGGACACAGTACTTTTGCTCAATGTATTGATTGAAAAAAATATAGAAATCAATAAGGAAGAAAAGGATATAGAAACTTTGAACTTATTGCACGAGAGGTTTTACTTCATGTTATCCCTGATATGCGTTATGAGAAATGATAAGAATGTAAATGTGAGGCAAACCGCTTATAGTATATACAAAAACTACGTAAATAAGAGAATATTACAGGAAATGTGGCCCATATTGCTAAAAAAGATAACGCAGAACTTGTCCTCTAAGAGTACTTCAAAGCAAGTGATCAGCGCGTCAGCATTGAGCGATTTAGTATTCAAGACAGACTCGAATAATTTGGAAAACATATTAGAAAATATGGTTAACGAGTTTAAGACAACAAAGTGTACCTCTATAAGAAAAGGAATCTCTCTCGGTTTTAGCGAAATTTTTTCCAAAAATAAGTATCACAACTTGGTTGTTACACATGTGCATAATATTATTTATATGATTAAAGAATTGGCGAATCACAAAAACACAGGAGATATAATAAAATTACTCTCCATGTTGCTAAAAAATATTGATCAAGAGGTTTTGAAGGGCATCATTAACGACTTCGTCAATGATGTTATGGATTCAAGTGAAAATAAGGATAGTGTGAAAAGGTTTACTTCCAAGCAGTATATCAGTTTTAAGAGTATTAAAATATTCCTAAATGTGCACACAGAATTGGTTATTGATCTTATTGTGGACAAAGCCTTGGTACCTCCGTACACCGCAGCAAAGATGAAGCTGTTGTCCTACGTTTCGTATGCCAAGTTGAGTAGTTACACGTTGCTGTTTAGGAAACTTGTGCACATTTTCATCAATTTGATACTGCGCGGGCTGAGGGAGTTTAGGAGTCACGGCTTTGACATGAAAAATTACGCCGCGGTTGCGTCGTACAACATGGACGAGGACAACCAGGGGGAAGGAAAAAAGAAGGTAGTTGCTTCTGCGGAGGAATTAAAAGTGGGCAAGTCGGACGGAGCACAGGTCGAAGTGGATGAAACAGAGGATGAAGTGGGAGAGGATGATGACGATGAGGAGGAAGAAGAGGACTTTGACGAGGCCGAAACGGAAGAGGATAATGGAGCCTTCCAAACGGATATGAATATACAAGACATTATAATCTCCCTTAAGAGCTTCCTAAAAAATATAAGCGACAGAAATGTGGACACGCTGACGGAGATCCTGTTTGCGGAACTTCGAAAACACAACAGCTCTGTGGATTTGTCTTACGCATGTTTGGAAAAATGGGAAGACGGGGAAAAGCACACAGATCGGAATAACGTGCAGGGAGACAGCGCAGATTTGGACTGCACGCATAATTATGCCAAAATATGCAGCGGAGGAAAATTAGCCGAACTGAAAAAATTCGAAACGACCAAGAGAAGTGGAAAAGTGAGGGAAATTATTCTGTCCATTTTTAAGTACATGCTGGATATTATAAATGAAAAGGACATCGCTGCATTGAATAACGACACACCAGCAGTACACAACTTGAATGTAGCAGAGCCGAGTAGTAGCCGTAATAAGGGAAAGCTGCGAGGACACAAACGCGTGCACATACTTCAGTCGTATAGAGTAATTACATACATAAGTATGATGTCAAAGTATGCACTAATAGATATCAACAAGAAGGTGTTAGAAATCGCGTCCATCATATATGTGTACCTAATTGAGGTGATAAAAATGCTGGATAATAGCTGCGCCTATGTCGAGAACTTTCAGGATATTATAAATAAGTACAGCAGTGATAGCAACCTTGTTCCAGTACCAGATGGGAAATACGAAATTGTAGGGTTAAATATGAGCAAGAAATTGTTCGCCTCCCTGGTAGGCATGTGCACACATGTAATTCTGCTGACGACAAATCCGAATGTTAAAATTAAGGCAATCGACATCATAAGAATGATATTTTTATATACCACTAGGGAGGTGTCCTGTCCTCAAATTTTGAAGGTATCTGGAATTTTAATAAGAGTGTTAACTAATAAATATATTGAACAGGCGAAAATTTACATCTTCTCAACGTTCGAAGTACTAATTAGGAAAGGCAGCAATTTTATTCGACCTTTGATTCCCCAACTGCAAACGTGCATAATAAAATCGCTGAACAACGAAAAATTGAAAAATCAAATTATTCATATTTTGAATATGATTTCAGAGAAGAAACTCTCCAGGGTTGATTTGCTCATTAATGATTTGCTGAACAATATTAATATACAGACAAATCCGCAGCAGTCTATAACGATTTTTATGATTTTGTCGAACATTTTGAGCAGTCCAGATGTTAACATAAAAAATATTTTGAACAAAATTATTAACTCGGTAAAGTCAAATTTTGTGCATAGCAATTGGAACATATCTTATTACGCATGCAAAATTTATGTGTTGCTAATATTTTACCACCTGCCAAATAAGAAGCAGTACTTGGAATCCATCCTTGTAGCGGAAAAAGCGAAGATCGATTGTAGCACCTACTATTTTGTTTTACACATAAGTGAAATAAATAATTTTTATGAAATCCTGAAGAGGGAAAATATGACGGAGTGTTTTAAGGAGGTGTATGAACATATACTGAAGGACGAGATTAACAGTTTGCAAAATATTTCCTACCAGATATTTTATAATATGACAAAGCAAGATGAAGAGTGTATTTCCTTTGTCTATGGCCTGGTTCCTTATTTGAAGCTACCCCCCATGACAGTAATTTCGGTGGAAATTCACCGCTACTATTTTAAGGGCCTGAGGAACATTTTTAAAAGTTGCCCTGATATTTACAAGGAAAACAAGCCCAACTTTTTGCTCGTCTTGGATAACCTCCACCTGGCCCTATCTAACACGATTCAAGTGTTTAAGTCACTGGTAAGAATTGCGTGTTATTGCCTTTGCCCCGACTATATGAGTGTGCTTTTATGTGTGCCTATCCAGGCGGCACCACTTATTGCTGCTGAGAAATAGGGCACCTGGTCACCACTTATGACCGCCATTCCAATTCACCCCTTTGTCACCACTTTTACAGGGAGAAAGCTGCGCAAAGTACGTCCTCGAAATAAACGACGAAGATCAGCATAAAGCCAAAATGGACTTCTTAAAACGCAACCCGGAAGCGACAAAATATAATGTACTGCTTGAACAGGTAAATCGACTTGTGGCGAAGAAGCATAGCATAAAATCGGATTCGGAATAGCCCATCTTTTTGTTATCATGTAACATATGTATCAAAATTTTGTATATTTGTGCACCTTCATTTTTATGCCCTGTGGCTAGCACCATGGGTATAGTTGTATGATCCGTTTTTTTTGAGGAGCTCCCAAAGAAGCATCCCTCACATGTTGCTCGAAAAAGTGGGATAGGTACACGTAGAAACGTGGCAACGTAGGCCTACCTCCCGTGTAGAACTTTTAAACTTTATTGTACATAAAATGAATGTATGATGTATAATTCACAAATGGGTTTTTTAAAGCAACGTTTTTAATGGTAATTTTTGGAAACAAAAAGAAGGAAGCGAAGTGTGGGCAAAAAAAACATGTCTATGTTTTTCCCTAATTAAAGGGTTTTATATAGAGGTGTTACGCTTCCTGGTTGGCTTCCCTGCACCTAGCGCATTAGCACAGTATGGGTGATAAAATGGCGCTACGTGCAGAGAAGCCAACCAAGGCGAAATGCGCAGGGAGTGGAGAGTGCAGGACCACGCGCAAGAATATCACTTAAGATGTATGCGCCCACTGCGTATTCGATTTCGCTGGGAAACGAATTGAAAGTTTTTAAAAAGCTTGTAGCGACGACACATGACGGCTAAATTATACGCTTCGAGATAATCATTATTTTGAATTTTAAAAATTTGAAATTTTCTTATGCCCGCCTCATTATAGACGCAAATGTAAGCATGCTCAGAGGAGTCGTAAAAGACGCCCCTATATCCACTTTTATTTCTATCAGGAACAATTTTAACATTTCTTGTCACATTATGATCATATTTTGCGCTTAAATTGCTGCTGTCATTGATATTAAGGGGTGTTTTGTGAGCTCTCTGTTCCTTTTCGATTTGCTTGCTATATTTTTTGTTGTACTGTTTGGACAAAATTATAGCTTTGTTTCTGGCTGTCTCGAATTTTCTTTTTTTTTTACAGCTGAAACTTCTAAACACTTGAATACCCTGTTTGTAATAATAAACTAGGAACCTTTTCAAAACATTATCGTACACTATATTTTTTCTGCTATTTTGAATTAGGCCAATTCGTTGTCTTCTCTTTTTCTTGGGATAAAAAAATTCCAACCTTTTTCCTGCACAGGTATTTATAACTCTTTCGTCTTTTCTTTTTTTCCTTCTTTTTAATCCTCCACTTCTTCCACTGAAAAATTTTTTATCTTGGCAGAAGAGTAAGTTTCCTCCTTTTATCCTAGGTTCCGATATGCTACCAACGATACAGCTGTTTCTTCTGTATTGGTCAGTGCCATTTGTGGAGCCTTTGTTTTGGTTAGGATACATGAAAGTGTGTTTTGAAAAAATTTGAGATGAGGAAATTTTTTGCCTTTCTTCACTTTCATTCTGATTAGCACACGTTTGTTTTATTCTAAATCGTGAAATGCTTCCAATAGGGTTGTTTAGGAAGCTTCCGTCGATTGACACAAACCTGGTGTTAGGCTTGCATAGTAGGTTCCCCCAGAAGATATGTGTAATCTCCTTCGTATAGAAGTAGTACCTAGGAGTCATCTTTTCTTTTTCCCCCTTATCCGTGATTTCATTTTTTTTGAAGTACTTGTATTATGGGAGTAAAATGGGACCACGTTGCTAATGTTAACCATTTTAGCTGGTATGCATTATAGATATTTGCGCGCAGTGTGAGTGGCTCCCTCGGCTGGTGGATTACCCCCTGGGGTTCGTGCGTGCGTGCAGTTGGGTAGGAAGCTGTACACAGACCATTCGGGGGTAGCATATGTGCATTGCCATTACGTTTGTTTTATTACGTTTCCTGTCGCTGGAATATTCTCTTTTTTTTTTTTTTTTTTTTTCCTTTTTTTTTTCATCACTAAATCTCCAACAGGTTTGCCACACCGCATGCACAATTTTCATTTGCGTGTAGGCAACAAGCGCCTATTCGTGCACATTTTGCGTGAACACATTTCTCGCCTTTGCAAGCCCCCTTTATGCGTTTAAAAGAGGGTTACAATTTGGTGGTAATTTTATCATTTTATTTTTTTTTTTTTACTCTTTTGTGTGAGGAAGCACATTGCCGCTTATCCAGAGAACACACTGCTAATGCGCTTTGAAAACGGTAAGAACTGGTTTATTGATAAAATTAATCAGTGTTCCAGTAGCGCGGCACTTAACGCCAAGTGAATTATTATAAAGGAAAACAATTTCGAAGAGAAACCCCCACCCACCGCCTTTCCAATTATGTGCCAGCAGAAGCGCCTACTGATGTAGTACTTTACAGCTGCTGCAAGGTGTACTCGTGTTTTTTTGCCTTAGAGCTTACTGCATGTCTGGGATTAATAATTGCATAGTTTGCCCTGTGTGGAATATTAACAAGAATGTGCGCAAAATTGTGGTTGTGCGTGGATATGATGGACTGAAGGGAACTTCTTCTGTGTTTTCCCTTTCCCCTATCATATCTGGCCCTTTTGTGTCACATTCCCCGTCTTCACCGCTGCTCTGCCGCTCCGTATTTAATGAACCCAGTTGGAAGGCTAAACAGAGGGGGAAGGGAAGTAAACATTTTCCTACTAGAACAACATGCGCAGAAATGCGAAGGAGTTATTGTTTAGACAGAGCTATTTGTACGCTGAAGGGGACTGAAAAGCAGCACCTTTTCTTCATAACAGCTAGGAATTAAGAGGGGGCGAACATGAACAGGGACGTTTTAGCATCGGGAAAAATACACGCGGATGTGTACACACCGATGTAAATCGTCGCGTCTGCAACTGCTTTCATTTTTGGGGCCTGTTTCCCAGCGAGACCAAGGCGCGTAACACCAGAGGAGGCAACACCAGGAACCAAAAAAAGGGGAAAAAATGAACATTCAGAAACGTTAGAATGAGATTTTCACTGATTACATTGAACGTTGTGCTTATATTTTTGACCCAACTTATGCAACACCATGACAAAATGTTTTTGCCTACATGTGGCGCAAAGCAGGTCGTAGAAAAGGTCTTCCACCAAAGGGGATATAAAAGAATATTTCATTTTTTACCCATACAGAATAGCTTTAAGCAGGGATCGAAATTATTTATGACCAAAAAATTTAAGTACAAATATAAGAATTCTCTGGAAAGAAGAATACGAAAGGGAAGAATAAGAAATGAAATAAATCAGAAATTAAAAAAAAAACATAGTGCTTACATAATGATAACTGAGAAGTTAAGCAAATTAGATCCTGAGCAGAAATACTTTAAGTACGATAAAAATATATTAAAGGAATATGAAAATATTAAGGACATTTACAAAAATAAAAAGCTAGGACGTAAATTTAACCAGTTCGATTATTGGTATTCGTCCAAAAAGAAAGAAGCCAAATATAATTATAGTAGACATGTAAATTTTACCATCACGGAGAATAAATTTAATTTTAAAAATGTCTTTTCATATTTTCACATACTGGAGGTTGTCCATGAAAAATTTAAAAACAACGCTTTTTATATTAACGGTCTGCAGTCATTTATTAATAAGTACTACGACCCGGTTACTCAGAAACGGATTAAGTACTACGACAAAATTAGGGAACAGCTTGAACTGAAAAAGAAAAATGGGGAGAATAAAACTGAAGAGACCCATAAAAAGGAGGGGGGTTCTATGGATGATAGCCATACAGGGGAAGTAAAACAGAATTATGTTGCTCCCTCGAGTGGCTCATCAAAAGAAGGGGGAAAGAATGATCAGTCTTTTCAAGAAGATACAATAAAAAGGGATGACAAACTGGAGGACCCGAAGATGCAGGCGAAAGACGACACAGTCACATCGAAAAAAGAATTCTTCGAGATGATAAAAAAGAACCTGAGCGAATTTGAATATTCAAATGAAGTAAGTGAAGATTCGTCATTTAAACTTTTCGGTTCTCCTACAAGTTGCCTTCTAAAGAAAAATGGCCCAATCGCGTATGACATAAAGAACCCCTTCATGAAGTCAAAGATGTCCTCAAAGAGGAGGAGGTTTAAACAGAGGAGGCTGTTCGATATTATCAACTTTAAGTGCAAGAATAGACGGGAACGGCTAATGCAAACCGCGGTGCGGAAATTGGCCAAAAGGAAATTGAAGGACGAAAAGTACATTTTGGACCCCATGGAGCCTGCTTAATAGGGAGGTCAGCATCTCCCTTTTCCTTCTTAGCAGCGCGAATACATTTGAAACCTTTCCACAAGCGTCTTTGAGCGCTTGGGAGAATTGTCATTTTGGATAAGTCAGCCCGCAACTAGACACATATTTATTGTGTTTTATTATATTATTATTTTTTTTTTTTTCCTGTGGGCACCATTTGGTGCTTTTTCATGTAGCATTTTTTTGTACATGCAGAGAATAGTCAGGTGGAAAGCGTTCCAATTGTGTGGGGGATGGAATGCCTCCTCAGCAGCGCTAATTCATCAATTTGAAACCTGCAATTTGCAGATTATAATTGCATCCAGTTTTTCTTTATTTTTTTCAGTTGAACTATGCCCCAGGGGGACTGTTTCTTTTGTATTAAGAATATTGGTCATGTGCTGCGCAGGCAAATACCTATCAAGTCACCTACGTGTTCGTTTACAAATAAAATGGTTCAATGCGTAACACGAAGATGCAAACCGGGGAGACGCATAGCACTAGAAAAATGGGTTAACTGACAACGGTTTGGGGTTCTTTTAGATTCGCCGTTTTGGGGGCAAGCAGTACGCTGTGGACATGCTCTCAAAAGGAACGGAAAAGACGCGGGGACATAAAACGTTTAATTCAAATTGCTCAAAAGATTTGCCTTCAGGTGTGTTGGTTTGAGCACATGTGTAGTTGCATCGAAGGCGTTGCTTCGGGGGTAAGAAGTTTTAATTCGGCACGAATGAGCCGTCCAGGGGGTTAAATAGCAATACATGCGTGATGGGGCGGATGAGGAAAAAAAAAAAAAAAAAAAAACACTCAGTAATGGGCACAAAAATGCACAACATGGTAATATGCCTATATGTATATGCACTGCAATATGTTGGGTACGCATGCTTCCCACAATGCTCCTTTCACCTCCTGTCCCATCACTTTGTCCCCTCCTCAGTTCTCCTTCAGCTCGGAGAAGAAACTCTCCAAGGTGTTGTTTTTCTTAATTTGCGTGGTTTTTTTCTCCTGAGAGAAGAGGTTGTCCACACTTTGATTTTTCGTCACACCGGTAAAGAATTTATCGAGGAATCCACTTTCCTTTTTATCTTTATGTTCGCCCTGCGTCTTAGCGACGTTGATGTATTGTTGGTTGGTTTGCTTAACGTCAGGGATATTTTTTTTTTCATCCTCAGACATGTGTTGATTATTACTGTAACACTTTTCGTATATTTCTTTCCGTTTCTGTTCGTCGTCTTTATAATCATCATCATAATGTAAATTTTCTTCAAAATTTTTGTAGCTTTCATCTTTTATTTGTCTTTTTAAATATTCGTTTGTAATTTCGCTGTGCAATGTGCTGTATTCGTCATCCACAAGACTTATGGAAAGCATCATATTTTTAATATTTTTGAATAACCTCGATGTTTTCACAGCTAGTTTTTGATTCTTTTTATCATTTTTGAGTATAGCAAACATTCGCATAATCCATTTATCGTATAATTTGTTTAGTGATTTTAGAGTGTCACTGGCACTTTTATTTTTGCCATCATTCATATAATCGTAGTGTATGTTGGCAAATAGCTGTTTGCAGAATAGGTCTACTCTAGAGCGCAACTCATCGTACTGCTCCCAAGGTAGGGAAGTAAACTCGCTATTGTTAGAATCGTTGTCTAAGGAGAGGTTAGGGTTGGTTTGTATCAACTTAACAAATCTTTCATACTTAATCAAATTGCATTCGTTTGAAAGGATGTATTTTTTTTCTACGTTGTAACCTAGACAACTTTCTATCTTGTTCGATCTAGGTTCGATTTCATTTTTATTTAATTTGATAACAGATATTTGTTCAAAATTGTCAAAATAGAGAGGGTAATATGTGCATTCACTGCATGTAAGGATATCATCATCGGGATTATCATCATTCACATTTTGTTCATTATCTCCTTTTTCACCTGCATCCTCTTGTGCGTCTGTATCAGCGCGTTCGTTACTACCTTTCGTATTTCCATGCAGAAGTTTTGCGTTTTGTCCAGAAGCCCTTCTTTCCGTAGGTTCTACATTGTTTAAATTGTTAAAGTCGAAAACTGGGACCCATTCATACACAATATGATTGGTGGTGTTCTTAAAAAGAGGGTATAAACCATATATAAAATTAGATGTATCCCTAACGTATGGAATGCCAAAGTTGGACATATTGACCCAATTCAAATAATGACATGAAGGGAGAGACAAAACATCATCATAGAGTATTGTTATGTGATATGTGTTGTACTTGTTCGATTTCAAGTTTGTAAAATTTTCATTGATTTTGTAGAGCGTACAATTATATGTGTTGTTTATATTATATGTGGAGACGCCTTCAAAAATATATTGACAAGTAATGACAAAAAGGAGGTAGTCATATGCACAGATAGCTACAGGTAAACCCTTCAACAGAAAGGTGTTTATAATATATCCATATGTAGAATATATTCTGAGAAAATTACTAGATGTGACAATTGCGACGAAATTATTTCCGTTGGCTACTCCTTTTATGAACTCATCATTTGGTAGATATTTGTTCCAAATGACATTATCCCTCAAATTGTGGAAACATAATATACTGTGACTTTTTGAGAAAGATTTTTCGTATGGGTTGGATGCTAAAGCAAATCCGTAAGCACTTAGCGATGCAGCCGTTACGTTGTAAATATCTGTGATTTTTTTCTTTCCAACATCTTCCCCTCTGAAGAGGTATACATAGATGTAGGTCTTATTTCCCTCCTTTTTCTTTGTTATATGTCCTATATCATTCCAGAACATGCACCACTGATCATTTATATTTTCTGGTTCTTCACATAACCCTGGACAGAGAACAATAAAATCGTCATGATTAATTTTTGTATAACCACTAATTTGCTTTTGGAGCAAATCTACTTGCTTTTTTAATTCTCTCAGTTGGTCAAATTTATCCTTAACATAGGTATTAAATCCGGTTACGCTTTTCTGGTCATCTTCATTATCGAACAAATAATTGCTGTCTTCAAAAAGTTGATCTTCATTCCGCCCGCCTTTACTTCTATTCCTTATAACATCTCTATTTTTGTTTATAAAATCTTGTAAATTGTATTCCTTTGGATTGTATTCATTGTCTTCTTCATCTAGGTTGTTGTGTTTCTTTTTGTTATGGGAAATGTGTTTTTCATTTTTGTCACTATTGTATTCGTAGTCGCTGTCATTATCTGCCTTCCTATTTCCGTAGTCCTCATCCTGTGTGTCTTCCCTCTTGTTTATCACATCTCCATGTCGATCCCGTGCAACTTTCTTATGTGTCCTGTTGATAAATGTGTCTTTGCTTTCTTCATCGTCATCCGTGTATATTTTCTTTTTCCTCTTTTTTACATTATTCGAATGAAGGTACTGTTCGCCCGAGTATGAATCGCTATTCCTTCGCTTATCGTTACTCCCTGTGCGTAACTGGCTGCTCATTTTATTACGTTGTTTTAGAAGCGTGGACGTGCTCTTCACACTGTGTTTTTTCTTCTTCTCTATGTGGTAATTATTGTTATCTTTCAAAATATCAGCCAGGTTGTTTATGTTTTTCTTTTCATGAATTGTTCTTCCAGCAGTGGTGTGTTCATAGTTGGACCCGTCATTTTGGTATTCTTCTTCAGCGGTACTTGTCTCCTTTTCTGAACCATTCCACTCGATTTTTTGCAAGATTTTTTTTCCCAGTAGCTTTACATTGGCTAAGTGGCTCTCCTGCGCTAGCATGGACATATGAAGATGGTCATTGAAGTAGGACAGATCAAACTGGGAAATCAAATAATTGCTCTTAAATTTGTAGAGGCAATACTCCTGTTCGAATTCCCACACGCAAAAAAGGTAATCGGCGCAACTTAATGTAGTTAGTAAAATTACGTCCTCCGAAATGGTTATGAACTTGGTGGCGTTGATAAAGGACTCATGAATTTCTGCTCCAGAAAATTCATACACCTTGTAATTGTATATGGTTAGGTACCGGACGTCCTTTTTCCCACACAGGGAAATACAGTGGTTTTTTGGATGCCAGTCGCAGTTCAGAATATTTTTGTAATTTTTCGAAAGCTCAAAGATGTTCTTCACCTCGACACAGTGGTTGGTTGCGCTGTCTCCTTCGCCGCTGCCCCCATTCTTGCCACTCCCTTCATTCTCCTTCATTTCACTCGTCTCGTGTGTCCCCCCCCCCTCTGCCTCCACATCCCCCTTGCTGTCCACACCAAAATCCTGCTTCGAAATATCATATATGTACATATTGATGTGGTTGAAAACGGCCATATTTTGATAGTTTGTGCTCAAGCAGAAATTATACGCATACTCATGTGTGGGTAGCTTAACAGAACTGAGGTACCTGTCTTTGTACAAAATTAAGGTATAATCCTTGTAAAGAATTAAGCAGTTCAGATTGTTATTAATTTGAAACATTTCGATTTTAACAATGTCGCACACTTTCCTATATATTAATTTTTGGTAAATGAACTCCTTTTTATCTTGGTCTTCTGAGAAAATACACACATTTCCGTGTTCAAAGGCGATGCAAACGTGGTTTGTTGCTGCCTCGGAGGCGTTCCTCTTCTTGCCGTAGTTATCGGCTAAGGTAGTGTTTTCGCTGTGCGATTCTCCGGTAGTTGTTGCGTCCCCATTGGGGAAGGTATCACTATGGGCTGCACCATTAGACAACTCGCCATTGTTGGGGTCATTCTCATGTGAGTTCTGAGAGGTTGCAATTTCTGCAGGTGGGCTGTCAACCTGGTCGGTGTGGTCCCTTTTCCCTTCTGTATCTATGCCATTATCATTGTTGAACGAGCCGATGTCCTGTCCTCCAAAACGGGCTTCACTAATTCTGAGAGGGCACTTTAACTTTACGTTATTCGAAATATACACAATTTTTTCATTTTTATTTATATAATCGACGCAGTATATAGCAATATTTTGTGCGCGAACCACCTTTTTTATTTCCTCATAGGTATAAAATTTGATTTTGTTCCCGCTGAGCAGTAGCAGTTTGTTGTCGTAGTGTCTGAGAATCAGAGCACTGTTGATGTCTGAGAAGAATAAGTCTTTCATTGTGGAGGGTTGTTTTTTTTTTTTTCGACGACTCCTTCGGAACTACGTGTTCCTCCGCACACAAAAGGATAGAACCAAGCGCCGAAGCGCAATAGCTATAAAAAAAATAAAAAAGGTGTCCCTCGGGGGAATGGAAATCCGATCTGGTATGATGGGATCAAGTTGTGTTTTCCAATTTACACCTCTTTAGCTGCCACTGCATAGCTACCATTACACAACTACCACCACATCTCCGCACTAGAGCTGGTTCACATGTACGGAGCCCCCGCCCTATGTTGTTGAACAAGCTCGGTCTCAACTGCACATGTGCTCAGGCACGCTGTGGAACTTTTTTTTTTTTCCGCGTAATTTCCCCCTATGCGTAAACGTCATTCAAATTTTTTTTAGCACACTTTGGAGATTATACAAATAATACAGCTATAATTCCATTTTTTAGCATTTTCACAAAAGCATCTTTTGCTACTTTTGTGGGAAACATAAAATACTTGCTTCGCACATATAGGGGAACTTTTTATATTTATTTTTAAGCAAATTAACAGATCAAAAGTATGGTAAGAAGTTGGTTAACTCGGTGAATTAAAAAAAAAAAAAATATATGCATACGCACAATTATTTATATGTGTATAAATGTGCAGTGCGTATGCTAGCGAAACAATAACTCAAGTGCAAGGGCAGCAGTAAAGTTAAGTCACCTGCATAATTGTGTACACAAGTGCATTTCGCTCATGAAATGGTGAATAAGTTGTGCGATGATAATATGCGGCTGTAACACATGGCAGCAGCTTTCCTTGCACATGTGAGAAAAAAGCATAAAATAAACAAGATTACATCTTCTGTTCGCAAAAAACCAGAATGCGCACAAAGGTATACATACACATGCTCCTGCGGGCATACGAACAGCCAATTGGTTATCCATAGGGCGAGAAACGCTATGTGGTGTGTATGATACTTTTCTTAAAAACAAACATGAAGTAGCTTAAAAAATGTTAGCCCAAGAGTTAAAATTATGAAGGAAGAGGGTTGTACGGGGGTGCAATGTATAGAACAAGAAATCTTCAAACAAATAGAATGCCAACGTTTGAGCACATTTGTATGTGTGCGCGCCTGCATGAACGCACATTCGTTAGTGCGTATACATATGTACAACGTGCAACGTGGCTTCAAGTGGAGGAGTAAAAAAAAAAAAAAATTGTGCTGTGTAAGCATAATTCAAATTATCAAAAAAGGAATGGCATAGGAAGCTGTTTTGAGGATTACCAACATCATTCATCTGCGTAATACACACTCTTGTCCTTGTACCGTTGGACCTTTTTCTAAAGGATGGGGGAATAAGCAAAAGGATGAATCGGGGCAGTGGTAGTGTATGAAAATTGGTACAAACGAGAGATGAAACGGAGGAAAAAAAAAAAAAACAGCCTTAATCTTTCCTTTCTGCTTATATATGTTCGACGGATCTTTACATACGACATTTTTTTTTTTTTTTAATTCCATTTATGGTGATTACCTTAAACGATTCCCTCAGCTGGGAAACATCGGACAGCAAACTGTTCACATTATCTGAAAGCAAATTAACCCCTGCATATCCCTTCGGTTTGATGGTTATTTCGATGGTGTTTTGCAGAGGATGCGGTTGTCTATATGCTGCGAACGTGACCTTGGGGTCTTGACAAAGTGCCCTGATGGGAGGAAAAAAAAAAGCTCATTGTCAAGGCAGGAACAGATTCTTTCCCGTCATGTGTGGTGACACATATATGAGCACGCAAGTGGTGGAACCGCACAACACAAACGCGATAAATACACACACGAAAAGGACACATAATGTGGGCGATTGGATGTGCCCCCCTTTTTTTAACGTATCTTACTGCTTTATCAAATTCCCTATGGTGTGGTCCTCCAGTTTTATGGTAAATATGTTGCAATCGCCTTTCTCCGATATTTCGCAACTGACTCTGCGGAAATATGAAATGTAAGGGGTAGGGGCAATGAGAGGTTTTTTTTTTTTTGACGATACTTACATGAAAGTTGTTCGCACGGTGAGAATCACAGTTAAGTGCTCACGCGCGCGATTAAGTTTATGCTGATGTGCACGATCACGTAAACGGGCTCAATTTCTCCCCTTGGTAACCCTCCCAATTTGCAAGTGGAAATGCAGGTTGTAGAATTTCCATGCAGACCACTCAGGGAGTATCAGTATCAACCAACATGGTTATGTAGAGTGAGCCTAAATCATTTCGATAAGAGCACAACTGTCCAAATGTTTTCCTGTCGCTGTGCGAAGAATACATTTTCGTGCAGCTTTCCCCTCTTGGAGTCGTTCGCTTCTACAACGCACTCTCTCCACACATTGATCAATACAAGTGCATCTCACGTGGTTCTTTTAATTACTTTTTTTCTCCGGGCGGCAATACAAGCAGGTCGATGTTTTCTGGCTTATTCGATAACGTTGGGACAGACATTTTTGCGATACTTTCTTGTTAAGGATTCGTGCCAATAAGATGAAGACTGCGCGAGGAAACTCTACCAGTCGAATTATATCCACCTCATTATTGATGGTTCCTTTTTTTTTTTTTTTTTTTTTTTTTTTCCCCCTTTCCCAGAATAGAAGGGGGTAAAAAAAAAAAACCCGGTTTTTTTTTTTTTTTTTTGTTTTTTCCCTTAACTTGCGAAGAGAACTAAATGTCACGATTCTTCTTCCTCCTCTTCGAGGCAAATGTTTTACCCAAATTTGCGCAGGAGAAACACGTTCGGGTAAGTTATTGCGCACGGGACGAAAGTAAAATGTACATGCGTACGTAAATATATAAATAGTTGCTAAATACCTTAGCATAAATTGTGAGAAAGGAACTAAATTTCTTGTCACGTTAATTTTAAATTATTAATGCTGTTGTGCGATAGAGGCCATTTTTATGTTCGAGGCAGGGAAAAAAAAAATAGAACCGTTTTTTTTCTGCGCGCGTGAACAGGGAAGGATCGGCAAACCTTTCAAATTAACGGTGTAAGGCGGGTTAGGAAAATTCCAAAGAGCACATTAATTTTTATAAAAACATGTAGGTTCAAATACAATTTTTTTTTTTTTTTTCCTTTCATGTGGAAGAGCATACAAATTGTGAAGCACAAAAAGGGATGGGGCTGAAACGGCGAACATTGTTCCACCACGCTGTGAAGTTGTCATATTCCCCACAATTTCTGAGTGCGCTTAAGGACATATTTATATGTATGCTTCCATTATGCAAAGGAAAGAACAGTTTTCACCTTGCCCTTCTGCATAGGACAATTTTGTGGATGTTTAAGTGAACAAGTTTTTTCCCGCACGCATAACTTGTATGTACAAAAATGTAAGCATATGGAGACTCTGATGTGTTCTTGAATATTTCAAGAGGGTACAGTAGTAAGGGGGTGAACAATAGGGAAATGTATAAGCAGAAAATGAACCAGCAGGTGTTTATGAATAATCGCGATCCTACGTCATTTTAACACGAATGCAATTTTTAATATACGACAGAAAAGGTGTTCCATATATCCATGACGCATGTCACTGTATGAAAATTTCGCGCTTTCTCTCAGAAAAAGACACAAAAATGTTTATAAGAATATATAGACTGTTGAAATGGCCCTATTTGTGGGACAGGGAATTTTGTTGTATTGTCATTTTTGCTCAGCAAATGTGAATTCAAACATACAGAAGGGAAAAGGAAATGGGGAAAATAAAAAAAGAAAAAAAAAATCGTTATTTGTTTTTACGAAATAGTTGAGGTTCCTTTTTCTTTATAATTTTATTTTTTGTCCATGTGATTTATTTCCAGGAGTGACTGTGTGAAAATGTATCGTACTTTTTTTAAGGAAATTTTTGTTTATTCATTTTGGTAAAGTATTTTCCTTCCAATGTGTTTATTCTTGAGTCACTACATTTGTCATGGCTCACAAAAGGACGGTTTAAAAGTGCCATTTATTTAATCGCGCATTTGTGCAAAAATTTCCTCCATCTGCTTTGCATGAAATGAGTTTGTAGACGTCCTTTTTAAGGGGAAGGAACGATAGGCGTCTTTTATCATCCTTTTTTGCGTTGAAGCGGAATGAAAAAATTCGTGGGAAATTAAGGAATGGTGAACACTGTGGTGAACACAGTAATGCGAATTTCTGTACACAACTCGCGCGTTAAGCATACTTCGCTTGTGCGCATAGTACATATAAATATATATGTATATAATGCATACCTGTGTGCGCCCTTTTGCAAAATCGTTGCACAGACATATCGTTGAGCCGCTTGCACACGTTCACGAAACCATTTGCGTTTCTGCCGTTGTTCATATATTGCTTCACGCGGAAAAACATAAACTTCGAAAAATTTTGAAAACATAGTTCCGCCACGCAAAGAGCTATCTGTTCCTGCATACATATTTTACGTGCGCCCCTTTATTAGGCACGTCGGCAATAACTTGTTTCACGTGCGGTGTTGTCACTGCGATATTGACCTCACGTCGGCAGCATTGCGAATATGCAAATGGACATGTGAAGGTATACATGCATTCGTATGGCCAAGCATGCGTGTCTGTTCTCACTCTACCTACACATGCAGGAATATTCGTATTGGCTAGTGATTTCCTCGAGGGAAAATGCACGCCCCAGACAAGAGCACTCCAAACTTTTTACGCGCTCGGAAGGAGGTTATCACAGTCTTTGCTGATAGGAACATTTATATTTATACACTTACATATGCTTAATTTTTCTGTACGTTTTTATGTGCGTGGGCTGTCCATGTTATGTACATGCAGACGCTTCGCGTGTTATGGAGTGGTACCTTGAAGTTGCATATACTTTGAAAATTTGCTCAAATTGCAGAAATTTAAAAATATGCACAAAATTTAAGAATTTCCATTTTTACACATACCACGCTCATTTCATAAGAAGAAATGATTACGTAAAAATTAAGAAGAAAAAAAAAGATACAACAAGTATAGACATAAAACAGTTTGATTTAGCAGCAAATTCTTTTGTAGTGGACTTTTTTTTTTTTTTTTTTTTTTTTTTTTCCAAGGGGATTTTAAGAATTAAAAATGTTTTGGGGTTTTACGCTTTTGTTGCATTTCCATTCGTTTATTAGAAGCTAGGGTTTTGTACTTTAACTTATTTAATTTTTTATTTGTTCTATGCAACATTCGTCTATGTAGTACAAATCTAGCAAATTTTTTTTGTTCCTATTTTCCGCAAAATTTCGTAACATTTGTGAACAATTATGTTTTTTTTTGTATGTACCATTAAATGTACGATTAATCCTCATAAAAGGGATACCCTTGTTTACCGTAGGCATGGGGGAACCCTCATTTGATTTAACAACTGAAGAGAAAAATTTTTTATATCCCATATTTTGTTTAAAAGGAGGGAAATGTAATAAGCAACACAACACACAGTAAAATTAAGTAGATTGGAGCAGGACGACGTAGGTGTACATATCTCACAGGATTGAAGAACAGTCAGGAAATAAAAATACTGCCCAGTTGAGGACAGCTCTACAAAGACCCCTTGATTTGGTTTAAAGGCACATGGGAGCAATTCACGGAGGCAGACTCTTCAGGAAACTATAGTTCCGTCGAGACATCACACCTCCAATTGTAGTTATATGTACGTTTTGCCTTCTAATAAGAAGGTCGAGCGAAATAAAGGAACCTACAAAAACACATGTTACATTTTTTTCAGTATATCTGCAAATTGTATGTATACTGAAGATTGGTTCTGAAACGGGGGCAAACATAAAAGCGCCATGAAGTGCTGCTAATACACAGGTGTATACTTTCTTAACCTTGCCATTTTAATGTGTGTGTTCCCTTTCTTGGGCTACTAAAACTCACGCTTTCGAGTATAGCCAAGTAAAGAACCCTTATGGAAATTGATCTGGTGCTTATGCACGCAGGGGTAGATGCAAACGAGGGCCATCCTCTACCTTCAGCGTTATAATGTATATATTTGCAAAAAGGGGTGAAAAAAAAAAAAAATAATATTCTTACTGGAGGAGTAACTGTCGAACGAACAGTTGAACGAAGGTAGCTATCTGTTAGAGGGCGGAAAAAGACAATTAAAGGAAAAACAAACCAAGGCGAGAAATGCAGAACTTGAGACGAAAGCCCAAGAAAGAGGGAGAAAACATCATTCTAAAGTTAGAACACAATACATTAATGGAAAAAGTGGAGTATCAGGTAGTACCGAAATATTTTTTACTAAACGATGACAAGAATAAGGATGTCTACTGCTTGCTGAAGAAAACGAATTATAAGAAGAGCGAAAAGGAGCTGATGAATGGGGAACAAGAGAAAAAATTACTCAAAAAGGGACAAGGAGAGAACGAAAATTATGATGGGATACTCAGTTTGGTTTCAAGTCATAACAAGACTGGCGTGTGCAAATTGGGATCCCCCGATTCCTTCCTCAGTTGTCATTATATATGTGAAGAAAGAAATGCTGCTCATGGGGGGACCATCAAAGAGGCAGACGCCAAAAGCGTGCAAAGTAGGGAAAACAACAAAAATGTTATTAACGAGTTAGGCGAACAGAAATATAAGTTGGCGAATCGAAACCCTATTCATCTTACTCCGAATGGTAAAAGCGTGGGGACAACAAAAAATGACAACACACGTTTTAGGAAGGACTATTTTGTACGTCTATTGAGAAATTCTTCCAAAAAGATTCTATGTTCAGCTGAAAAAGTAAAAAATTTTAAAAACTTATTTTTGAAAATAAAAAGGAAGGATGAGAATTTTTTTTGCGATTCAAAGGAGGGAGCAGACAACCTGGGACAAAGTGTAACAGGCGAATGTCCTCCAGCTCAGGGGTGTGTGATATCCCCAAGGGGGGAGGGCGAAGCGGAGGAAAGTGCGAAGGAATATAGAAGAGACGAAAACAAAATTGTTACGATTTCTTGTACAGCCAAGCTAAACGGAAAAGGAAGAAGAACAGGCAGAAGGAACGGCAAAGCCTTTAGTGAGCACTCCCCCAAAAATAACAGAATGAAAAAGGAAGAAAACCACCTCAAGTGTAATTATGATATGTTGACAAATGATAAAAAGGAACACAAATACATTTTAGATAATTCCCTAAATGATAACACGAAAAAAACTTATGCTGTAAAGTATGAGGATGAAAGTAAAAGCGTAAATTATTTGGAGAAAATTTTAAAGGACAAAAAAAACAGAATGAATAATCTCCTTCTTTTAAACATCGAAAGAGATAGGCCATTCAAGCCAAAGCAAATAACAAAACTTAGCAGGCTCAAAAGAACTAGTGGTACAATCTCGTATGGAGACAAATTTCACAAACAGGTCTTGCATCAAAGTGACCATGGCGCTACATTTGAATATTGCGCATCAGACATGAATATAAAACATTGTGCTATCGGAGGGAAAGAGAAGAGACTCTCGTTAGAGGATAAAAAGGATGTTGCATCCCATCGTAGAAATGAAGAACACATGGGAGATTTTATGAGGGAAAACAATGCCAACTTTATTTTTTGTAAAAATTCGATGAAGGAAGATAAAATGGACAAAATGAAGATGAAGGGGGTGCACATCTGCAGTAGCAATAAGAAAATAACTGCACCGTTTGTGCGTAGAACGACGAAGAAGGGGAAGGAGGAAAATGCTAAGACGGTGGAAAGTGGGCACAAGGGTCGGAAGGACCACACTGATAGGGATGAATATCGTGTGAGGCAAATTATGCAATACAATGAAAAGTGCAAAGTGGACGTGAAACAAAGCAGAACGCGCAACCACGTTAAGGATCACCCTGCACATGAGACTCAGTTGTGGAAGACATGGGCTCTCTGTGTACAACAGAACAAAAATGATGATCCCCCAGAGGTTCTTGCGAAGGTTAATATATCCAATGAGGAACATCAAGGTAAAGTTAGACGTACCATCAAAGTTGTTGCAGAATTGGAGAAATGTGACCCAATCGCAGTTCCACAGACGAATTGTGGTTATGAGACTGACCAAGTTTGTAAAAACGTTAGTGAAAAAATGGGGAAGCAAGGGGAGGATACTTTTCATCCCTGGTGCGAACAAAAGGGGAAGACAAACAGGGGGGGAGAGCCACCCGGTGAGGGTATACACGTGAAGAATATAAACACCATGCCGGCATCCTCCCAACACACATCAATAATCGAGGACACAATTAACAGACCGAATAACAAAAAGGAAGAAAAATGTAGCAAAAAGAAACTCTTCTTTTTTGAAAAAAATAAAATGAGGATAAAAAATTTTATTAATAAAAATGAGATATTTAATTTGTCCACACAAGAAGAGAGTACAAAAATGAAAAGCGAAAAGATAAACACGCGAGTGAGCAGTGCATCGAACAAATTTCCCCCACACAGGTTTGCATCACCGAATGACTCTATAAGCAAATTTGGGGGCTTAGCAATGGTTAGTGGTTTAAATCACGCTTATAATAGTAGCATGGTCAATAAAAAAATACCCGCGAAAAAGATAAAAGTGGAAGAAGAAGTCCTTTCTGCGTATCCAGTAGAAGTGGACGACACGAAAAAGAAACGTGAGGATCACACACCTATGGATGAAAAAAGAATAACGCTTATGGAGGATGTAAGCACAGACACGGATGTTTTAATGCGGGTTTTGAATGCACGTGAAGGTGATCCCCGTGCAAATGGAAGCACTGATGAAGACAGCCAAATTTGCGAACAGTGTAGCAACACGGACCGTTCGCATAATTACACGAATGCGGTCAATGAGGATGAAAAGTGTAACCAGGACATGGCATACGATAAACAGAAATTACTGATGAAGGATTTAATAACCAGCGTATCCAAGGAAAGGAATTATGACAGTCCTTATGAGCAGAAAAATGAAGACACCAAAATGGAACGAAAAATAAATGGGTTAAAAAGGAAGAAAAGAAATTTTCGATCGTATTTTATGAAGCTTAGATCCTTCCTCTTTTTCCATCATAGAAAGAGGACCAGCACATTGGTCTCCCGCACCACAGAAAATGGATCCAATAAAGTCATTAGAAAAAAGAAGTTTCATTTAAAAAGGAAAAAAAAAATAAAAAAATTGAAAAGTCTACGGTTGCTAAACATATATAGCTCGAAGAAAATGATGGACAAAAGCAGCAATGAAAAGGAAGCAAATAGCCATTGCGAAAATTACCAAACGCAGGAATTTTTGTTAGGAGAACAGAGGGAACAAGAAAGGGTAAGTTGCTGAAGTGGGGAAATTGTCTATTTTTTACGCCATCGCTCGTCCCTTTGGTTATGAGCGAAGCTCTGTTACAAATGCGCTGCAGAGTGATGAAGTATCTTAAATTTGCGTATCGCGATTTTTGAATTTCATCCATTGAGTCGTTTGTTTTATTCACCTGGTTGTTAGTCGACAGTTACACTGCGCGGAATGGCATCATATAACGTTATATCATATCTCTTTTTTTATATTTTTCTCAAGGGGAGGAAGACCATCGTGCTGGACCTAGACGAGACTCTTGTTCATAGCACGTTACGGGATGAGAGGTACAATTCTTTCAGGATTCCCGTAAGTGCCCAAAAGGGTTATAAAAAGGGGTGTGTGTGTGTGGTGGGGTCATTTTTCTGTTCGCGAGTGGCTACATATATAACATGAATATGTGGTATACATATTTACATGTGTGCCATTTTGCCCGTCTGCGCGCTCGCTTATTTCTTTATGTGCACTTCCTTCCAGATCGAAATGGGTGACGCACGCTGCGTAATTTATGTGAATAAGAGACCAGGTAAGATTAAAAAAAAAAAAAAGAAGAAGAACTATAATTAAGAAATGTAGCCGCAGAACGAGTCTTCACGTAAGACCCGCAGTAAAGACATAGTAAGAATTTCTTATGTACCTTTTATTTTCCCTTTTTTGTGAAAAGGCGTGGAGCATTTTTTTAAGGAAATATCGAAATATTACGAAGTGGTCATTTTCACAGCTAGCTTACCCAAGGTAAAAACAAAGAAAACAAAAGAAAGAGAGAGCAAAGGAGCCAATAGACAAAAGAGCAAGCGGAGAAGACTTGCTCATTTTACATTGCTTAGAACGCAACAACTTTTTTCCCCTCTTAAAAATTTATGTTCCCCCCGTTTTTCCAACTCAGTATGCAAACGCTGTTATCGACCAGTTGGACAAGGACAACATCTGTGCTTACCGACTGTTTAGGGAATCCTGTACCTTTTGGTATGCACATTTGATTTCATAACGGAACATTTTATATGTTGTAAGCTCGACGAGCACAGCGGCAGAAAAATAAAAATCAATTTTCCTTTGCAAACACTTTTTAGGAATAATAACTATGTGAAGGATTTAAGAATATTGGGACGGGACTTAAACAAAGTCGTTATCATTGATGTATGAACAAAAATGGGTTAAGTGAAGGAATGTGTGCGAATATCCATTTTGGAATAGGCAACATAAAATGCGCTTCTTCACTACCACCTCCTCCTCCTGTCACATCCCCCTTTCAGAATTCGACCTTCGTCCATAAATTTTGCGAAGACAACTGCATCTTAATCAAAAGCTGGTACGATGCATTCGTGTGTCCATTTTGCGCATTCACATGGTAACTACATATTTTTAATATATTTGCAAAACGCACCCTGGTGACTTCCTTTCCCCTTAGGTTTGACGACCCAACTGATAAGGAGCTTTACAAATTAATCCCCTTTTTAAAAAAATTGTCAAAGAAGGTAAGAAAGAAAGAAAAAGAATGAAAAGGGGGACACGCCCCTTTGGTTACATAATGTGTGTTGTACATCCAGATATATACACAACATAAGTTTGGACAAAAGTGTATATGCAAATTTGTTTATACTGTTGTGACTACATTTCGGATTAGGCACCTATACGTCGGGGCTTCATCCATCAATTTTACACATTAAGCGAAATGTTATGTTTTTGGTGGGCGGCTCCCTCCCTAACCTCTTCGCTTAGAACTTTTTTCTTCTTTTATTCCTCTTTTTTATATATTTTTTTCTTTGTTAATTCTCTCCTTTCAGAAATCAGTTATACGTGAACTGAGAAAGTATAACAAGAAAAAGAAGAAAAAAAGAAAATTTTAAAACATTCCTACAATGAAGTTATGACCCCTTTGTACCGCCCAAGTTACACAACATTTGACAATAAGATATGCGGTTTTTCCATTTTTTTGTTGTTTTATTATTCTTTTTTGCCATTTTTGCACAATTCAGTTTTTACCACTTTAATATATTTTCGAACCTGTTTAAAGCGCAAAGGCTATATTGTAACATTTTGACGTTTTTATGTGTTGTTCTTATTTCCGTTTATAAATTTTTAATTTCCGACATGATCCGTACGTACATATTATTCATGTGCAAACGTTTTGGCCTATAGCTGTACGCCATGTTAGCAGAAAATTTTCCTTCTCTAACGTGCGTACACAATTTTGGTAGGGCCGGGACGAACATGTGGACATGTACATCACAAACCCATATAATCCACATACGCATACAGCGTTTGCTAATCGTATTTCCACTTAGTGGTGTAGAAAAATTGTTGAGCTCTAAAACATTCCTACATGTGGAAGAGCTTATATAAAATAGGCCCACATTAAGTTAAAGTGGAAGGATTTTCCCCACTGCACGAATACTAGGCTGGACATCTTTTAAAAAACCGTGTAAATTTGCCACCCATTATTATTATATGTATCTTCCCTAGCCCCCTTCTCTTATTCTTTCACACTCGTAGAGGGTTATGACAAAAATGCGTATGTTTTCTTTAAAAAAAAAAAAAAAAAAAAACTCATATATGCATATGAAAGTATTCTTTTTGAGTAAATGGCTAGCTACCATTTGTTACTGTTTTTTGGAAATTAATAACCCACCCAGCCCTTCATCTTTTCACATTTGCGTAAAACTAGCCAATTGGCCTTTTTAACCTAGACGGGATTAGCTAGCTGCAGGATGTCGAAAATATAGTGGCAATTTTTTTTTACTTTTCAAATTTTGAGCGGCGGCCATGATAGCGAAAAAAAAACAAAAACATATATATATACATATATACTTATATGGATAAAAAAAAAAAAAAAAATTTGCATAAATTGAATAAAAAGCATAAAATCGATAAGTGCACTTTTTTAAAACAATTTCAAAAAAAAAATAATTTTACATTTTTATTCATTCTGAGGAAGATCAGCAGGAATATGAATAATTTTTACTGCTTTTTCTTTTCTCATCTTGGCGCGCACTTCGCATACATTTGTAAACATTTTTCTCATAAGCATATTTTTTTGTTTTATGCCATGTTTGATGCCGCACAGTTTAGAGGTTTTTCAACGTTAATGCTCTGATTGGTACTTACATTTTGTGTGGCCAAAAAATGTAGGGCCACACTTTTATTCGTTCGTAAATGGCGACAGTTAAGAAAAGTTCCTTCGCAGGCAAGGGGGATAATATATAGTAGTAACTGTAATGTATTTCCCCATACAGGAAAAATAGCAAATGTACATTCCTTTTATATGTACGAATTTAGGTATGCATTTATCTGTACGTAAATATTCGACGCAAGAAACATGCCCAACTATGCCAATATCTTATGCGCAGCGCAGCTATTGCTTTCGTAGCCCTACCCCCTTTTCACGCAAGCCAACCAACTGGAAGGCCCCCCTTTTCGAAATCAATTTAGTAAACCACTGAAAGAAAATTTTTTTACGAATGATGAATTGTAAAAATACGATGTGCTCACGAGTCCTGAGTAGAATCGTTGAACTCAAATATTGCTCAGTTGAGCGTGAGTTCAAGATGAAGTAAACTTGGAAAACTGACGAAAAAAATTTTCACAAAATGGTTTATAAATTGTACTCAAAAAGGGCAGAGGGGTAATGGCCTTGCACCCACGGCTCGAACTTTTGTGTAATTGTTCTTGAGATCATTTGGTGGCCACACGTTGTGCAAGGTGTGTATACTTGAATATATATTTGAATGTATATTCGTACGTACCTGCTCCTCCTGCGAGGCACACCCAGCACGAATTAGAATTGCATATTTATGAAACTACACCACCTCTTAAGCCAAATTAATAACATGTGATGTTCAAATGTCCATAAGGATGAGGTGTGTCGGAGAAGACTAAAATAAACGGAAAAGGATGCGCATTATTATTTTTCGTATTATTATGAGTAACCCATGTTGGCAAAAAAAAAAAAAAAAAAAAAAGAACAGGAAAAATGCAAAATGAGAAAAAAACAAAAACAAATAAGTGGAGGGGTACGAAAAAGAAAAAAAAAAAAAATGGAACGCAATCGTGCACATGTGCATGTACATACACGGTTATGTTCTCCTCCGTAGGATTTTAAAAACACTTCGTACTTTTGCACGTCAATCCAAATGTGTTATGCCTATTTTTCCTTTTTCAAAACGTCTATATAATGGCAATGTCCTGTTAGAGGCGTGAAGGGGGGGTGGGAGATATATGAAAAAGGGTACATGGTGGGAAAATGGTGCATACTTCAACTACTAATGAATAAGCACGTGTGCATGTCAGGGGCAGTACCTATTTTGTAGAGCTGCAAAATTTTGATGCATATTTTTTTTATGTCTTCATATGCAACGTCAAATAGTTCGAACCAGTTGGTACTCTGAAGAGAAAAAGTGGTGTGGAGGATGTAACATCTGGATTGCCAGCTGCGTGAGATTAGGCAAACGCATGTATGTGCAAGCACCTTCATGAAAAACACCCCCTCATGTGTGGTTAACGTCGCAACGTACCCGAATTAGCGGAATGTTCAATTTGTGTGCGGCCAGGAAAATACTAGCGACTGCGATACAGCGTGGTTGGTATTCGCAGCACAGGGTTGTGCGCATGCTGCAGGGATGTAAAAGGGAAATAATGATGTACGAAAAAGGTAGAGTCATGTTAAATGAAGTAATGTAGGGAGCAACAAATCTGTGCGATGTACACGCCTATATGCTAGCAAGGTAATGCTATGCATAGAACAAGGCAGGTGTCACAATATAAAAATGGAGAGGGGTAAGAAGGGATGAACAAATACAGTGTGTTATGTTTGTCTTCTTCAAAAAGAGAAGGCATAACGGAAAAAACCCTTTAACCTGTCATTTAAGAAGCCCCACGAATATTGGGCCAGTTTTTTGGTCAAGTGCTCATCAAATTTATTTAAATTGTTAAAAAGGGAATGTACGTAGGGAAGGAGGAATAAGTGGGGATGTTGATTTATTTTGTGAACCAAGAATCCCATCTCTTTTAAAATCAAAAGTTCGTATGTGAAAATTTCGACTTTCATGTCTTTGTATTCCTATGAACGGGGATAACGCGTAGATAGGCATTTGAATAGCTAAGCAGTTGTTCAGTTATGTATTTCCACAGCTAAGCATCTTCCTTGTGCACACACACATATCCAATGCGCATGGCCTTACCGCCGATTCTGTGTCTATCCTGAAATGCTCCACCTTGACGTTTTTGACGTTGAAATAGTAATGTCTGCTTTTTAACTCCTCATATTTGTACAGGAAATAAAAGGCGCTGATTATTTTGTACACACGGCAAAAGTCTTCTTCCAACTTGCAGGCTAAGTATAGCGATGAGGGCGCGATGATCTGCAACGGAAAGAAGGTTTGTCCGCATGGACAGGTGTGGGGCATAACCGATATTGCTACTTGTGTGTAGAAACAAACGAGTTGCTTGTTCCTATGGCACATGTATATAATGTAAGTGGGGACCCACTTGGGGGAAAAACTTAACCTTCACGTCAAAATCGGTAAAGGATTTTTTAAAGTAAAAGCGGTGGAACAAAACTTGGGCAGTGGCCAATGTCACAGCTTTCCGCTTTAAAATGATACCAGCCTCTTGTATCAACTGACAGCCGTATATTCTCAATTTCGTTTCGTCATCCTTTGCGACATTTTTTTCTTCGCTTGGGGTTTTTATATGTTCCCTATTGATTAAAATAATGTCATTTATCATGGTTTGCAGGGGGAAGTTTGCACAACAAAAAAGGAGAAAAAATGGGGAAACTAAAAAAAAAAAAAAGCCAAAAAAAGCAAGAAGCAAAGTTAATGCTATAAATCGAACGAATGTGTGAAAATTCTCATATCTGCATGATGTTAACAACTATCACGGGGAAATCCTTTCCCCATCAATGAGGTACACAAAAAAAAAAAAATACACTTGGTAGAAAAGAAAAATTGTTAAAGGGTGGTATTTAAAACACAGTCAAAGGGGATCAGTGTGGGACAGCCCCATAAATACGACAGGTTTGTTCCCAAGAGTATAGTTTTTAAATTTTTGTGCCTCGGGCAAAATGTATAATAGAGTAGCGCCAAGCGTGTAGCGCACACGGTGGGTATATTACACATGTTGCGAATAGCCAAGAAGCCTTACACATCGACACGGCACTTATTCGTCCATTTTTTTTTTTTTTTTTTTTTTTGTTGTATGATTATTTACTCCGTATAAACCTTCACAATTAGATCTTTATGAGTTCCTTCATGTGCTTCAACTTTTCTGTAAGTTTTTTCTTCGCATTTTGCAACTCCTTCAGCTTCATAATATTATAAATAACGATTTTAAAGTTGTTACTGTGCGATACGTCTATGTATTTCTCCGAGTTGAATAAATCTTTTTGGAGAAATTTATTCTGTAAAAATTTCAAATCGGCGTATGGTAGCTTTCCCTTCTTTAATATTTCTTCATAATTGATATGGTAGAATTGTTCATATATAATTTCATCGATTAATTTGATTAAAATTTGCAACATGACTACTTCGGATAGAGGTGATAAGTGATGTTCCCATTTCATCAAGTCTGTTACCTTTACCTTGGCGAGGTGGTTTAAGTCGTCATATATGATAACTCGGATTGAGGCAAGTAGGATCGGGTCTACAATAAATTCTGTGCCTATGTAGAGATAATTTTTCTTATGCGAATGTTGGAGTTTTTCTTCGATGTAAAATTTGTTAATGCGATCTTTCAGGGTAAAGATGTTGTACTCGTTGAAATATTTATTTTTTCTTACGTAATCGTTTAGTATTTCCTTTTTTTTTCTTATAATTTTTGCGCTCTCCATATTGTTTATATCAAATCGTTCATACATATTCTCATTGTTCTGGATAACATTAAGCTGTTTAAATAAATTCACCTTAACCTGTGGTAGACTTTCTAACATGGTTAGGGGTAACATATCAAACCCTAATATTTGTATAATTATTTCTCTTACAATTTTCACATCAAAATGGAAGTACACTTTTGTGCTTTGCTTATCAACAAATCCGTATTCTAAGAGTAGAAGGTCATTGCTCAGGTTGCCGTAACTTATGGTGATTTCATCTCCTTTGTCTATATCCTTCGAGCTGATTAATTGGACATTATCTAAATTACAAATTGGTAGTTCCTCTTCCTGATTATCAGCTTCTTTTGACATATACTCCATGTTGGTCTCGTTAGAAATGTCCTTCATTTTGTTCTCTCCATTGGGGCCATCCCCAGAATGGGAATCCATCTTGAAATCTCCCACCATATGAAACTTATCTTCTGGTCTTTTTTTCATTTCCTTTTTGATAACACAGTTGGTGGCGAAATTGCTATGGTTACAGATGTCTATGATTGGTATTAGACACATGTATTTGTTTTCTTCCTCCCTTTCGGCTTTCTCATACTGGTTAAAATCATGCTTTGCGCATTCCTCTACGGTGAGCTGATGGATTGCTTTCTCCACATTTTCCATTTTGACGTTGCTGCTTAGGACGTTATCCTTCAGTTGATATTCGTCGCTGTGGTTTGGGTTATTTTGGCTGTGTTTTATTTTATCCCCCCCCTCTGTTGTATTATCCCCATTTAGAGTTACGTTGCCCTTCACTTTTATGACATGTGAGGAGACGTACGAATATATTCGCATCAGGAAGTTGTAATTGACGAAATGGTCGAACGATTCGAATAGAGATTCTTTGTACACAATGGAATGGATAGCCTCGTCCAGGGATTCAGTTACTTTGCTGGGCGTTGGTACCCCGTTTGGGTTTGTGCCTTGTCCATTTGAGTTGCCCTCCTCCACGAGCAAAGCGAAGTGATACAACCTGTTAATATCTGCCGTACGGTCAAGAGAAGTGTCGTGGCGAGATTCTCGTTTCTCATCCCAAGGGGGGTTGTCAGCACAGGTTAGGAATTTCTCAATGGATTGGTAATACTTATTATTAGTGAATAAAATTCTGTGTATAGAATTTTTGTCAATGAATAAAAAGTTGGAGTCGCCATGTTCGTCCTCTTTAATTAAATTTAATATGTCGTGAAGCATGTGCCTCCTAAAATAAATTATATTTTTCATATTCATGTTATTGAAAAGATGAAAAGAGGAGTCTGAGAAGAGTAGAGGCAAATGGGACAGCTGTTTCTTATTAACAATATAGTTGATGTAATGTTCGTAATTTTTATAGAAGAAAAAATTGGTCTTCTCTTTAAGTGTGTCATTTGTTTTTTGGGTAAGAGTGCACTTTGTTTGGTCTATGTGTGTGTGGTGTGGATGGCGTAGTTTCTCTTCTGTGTTAGCGTTACAAGGGAGGCTATCCTTTGGTGCGTCATTTGGGTCATCATTGTTTTGGCCCTCCGTGTGCATCGCATCTTTGCCAGTTATCCCATTTTGCTTCTCCCCGTTGAAGAAATAATTCCCCAGGAGAACAAAAAAAGTGTTGTTAAAATTATATGCATGAAGCAGAATAGTTATATATTTAGAAACGAAGTGAAGATATGTTATTATCAATGTTAATTTCACGTCCCAGAATTTTAAAAAGATATGTGGTGACTTCAGGAAAGATAAAAAGTGGACGTGCCTTTTATAAATGTCATACAGTAAGATGGTAAGGGGTGTTAGTTTTTTTATCTCATCTTCCATGTTGTTTTTAAAAATGTATTTTATATAGTTTACGTTATAAGTGCTGGAAAAAAGGTCCACGTATTTCCGAATTTGCTTAACGATGTAGTCAAAGTGAATTATATACGAGCTGGGTATGCTGCATATGACCCCTTCCTTCTTAATTTTATTTTTCGCCGTCAAACAGAGGATTTTGTTTTCATGATTGAGGTCATTTTCGTTACCACTACTTTGGCTGTCATGAATGGTGTCCCTTTTGATGCTCTCACTGGATGGATCTTTATTCGGTGGAACATTCGTACCGATGTGCGGAAGCTGTCCCAAATTGTTACCAACCTGTATGTTGTTATCTGCGAGAAAATCGCCAATTCTATTTTTCTCATAGGTATATTCATCCCTGTTTTGTTCATCAAATTCTACATTTTGTAAATTTACTGAGTTGTTCATAAAATGGCTAGCCAAATGGGAGATGGTAAAAATGGGCTCCTGGAGGCTGTCCTTATATTCATATTTCTTATGTAACACGGATTCTATCAATTCGTTTAGGCAATTTAAGGAGCCATTTTCTTTACCTATGTTATCCTCCTGGGATAATGTCAACTGGGTGTCTTTCTTTTTGAACAAATGAAAGGCATTTTTGCGTGTGTGCACCAACGTGTGTAAAGCAAAGTGATTGTCTCTACCTCTTGTCGACCAACCATTTTGTGTAAAAGAGGGGAACATAATTTTTTTTCTCTTAGTATGTATTTTTGCGCCATTACTTATCAGTGTGCTTATTAGTAGGAGTGCCCATTTTAGCCATAATGAGAATGTGCTATTCATGTTACTGCTCTGGATGAGGGTACCAATGGATTTTGCATTGGCGGTACAAGTACAGGTGACCGTATGAGTGCATTCCCTTTTGGTAGTAATGAATGTGTGTGTCCCTATAGAATCATTTTAGTGGAGAACAAATTAGGCATATAATTTATCCGCGGTAAGGATGCCCCTTGCGTTTCCCTCCCTGTTGAAACATCTTTCTTTTTTGAATACACAAAATGGGGGTTTGCGCGGGGACATTACATGTTTGCAATATTATATACGTGGCTTGGGTATTACACATAATGGGGTGATTTCTTTTTATAAAAGAGGATGTTACATTTGGGGAGGCATAAAAGCAGGGGTACTCCACGTCACTCTTTAATTATTCATTCTAAAGAGCGGCTGCGTGGGACGCAAAGTAGATGTGATCCTGTGCCCAGCTTTCAAATTAGTACATTTTTACGTTGAAAATTTTAAACTTTTCGTGCAGCGGGAAAAATTCTTAAACCGCCACGGAATTGTAACTTTCCATACACGACAAAGTCACCAGTGGAATTTAAAAAAAATAAAAGAGACGAGTCCCATAAAAGTATGCACGTGTGGTACAATTTGTATCCACCTGAATGCTTCAATTTTGTGTCATTTTGGATTTACTGCTGCGTGTGTTGTGTGTGTGTTCTTATTTTTTTTTTTTTTTTTGGTTTCTTGTTTTTCTCTTTATGTGAGCAGCTTTGTTGGATATACTTTTTGAAAGCAGAGGTAGAGGGCGAAAAATGAGAGAGGCGGGATATTTTATCCCATGAGACTTCTTTGAATGTGCCATTCATTACATTTCCTTACAATTTTGGGATGGCACGTGTATATTTATAATGACTTACGCATTAACTTGTCGCACTTAAACCTGTGTTATGTTTCATTGGGGTCATTTTGCCACGGGGACCTAGGGAGTTTAGCGGTTTTAATTTTTCTCGTTGTCCTTTTGTAGAACAAAAAAAAAAAAAAAGGAAAAGATTGTGTTATCGCGCTACTGCGATGTCGTGCAGTTCTATCATCACACATTAGCACATACGGGACACAATCATCCTCACGAGGACATTGATTGCAGTATGGGGACACAAAAATAACACCGTTCCTTCCCTTTTTTCTTTTTTTCCTTTAATACACTGGTCAATACGTAACATGGGTAACACATAGGACGTTACATGAATGGCCTGATCGTGTAGGACGAAAAAATGCATCACACCCATTATTTTCGTTTTATTTTAAAATATCCTCATTGTACTATTTCGAAAAACGCCGTTTTCGCTCCAGGTATTATTTATTTCCTGGGCGCATATCAACTTTACATGCAACCAGGGGTGTTCTACACATGGGGATATGATGGGGCTATGTTTAATATACAAAAAGTGGGTAAGTACACGTGAGTAAGCGCGATGTGGATGGGAAGCTAAAAAAGAACAAACTGATGACCAGTTTGGTGAGGGAAAACATACTCACCGAGCGGACACGCAAACAAAAACGAATATATATGTATGTATCAGTTTATGCAATGTTGCGAAAAAAGGCCCTCCCCCCATCATATTGCACAAAAATAGGTTGCCAATCGGAGGCAATACATGCGTATAGAACGGAAGATCGCGAGTCGAGACATATGCTCAGAATGTATCCATTAAGGGCACAGCCATTTGGTGCCTATGTGTGAAAAGGACCACGGATTGAGGTAGGCAACACTTTCCACTGCACATAAAAATTGTGTTTTCTTCCTTTTTCGCTCCAAGCATGCATGGAAGAAGGAAAAATAAATAAAAAAAAAAACACGAAAATTGTGGAATTGCATAAATGCAAATTTTGGGCAAAAAATTAATAACAAAATTGGCGAAAATAAATTCATTTATTGCAATGGTTTTTTTTTTTTTTTTTAATTGTTATGTTTTCACGTAGTCAAATATTTTTCCCCTTCTTTTTAATTCCTTACTTGATTCACTTTTTGCTTTGTGTTATTTCAGAATTTACCCCCTTTTGTTTTATAAACTTTCACATGTGGTAAGACTCGAAAGAGTTGACACATTGTTATTTTTTGCATACCAGCGTGCGACGTGCACAAACAGTTCGCTCACTTTTCGATTTGCCTTCTACAAGCGTAGATATTGTGGAGTAACCCGCGGACAACTGACCAGCAGAAAAAACAAAACAAAGTCACATAAATATATATTTATTTTTGTTTTGCGACGTGCGTGCGTTCTACACCCTTCTCGCGCTCTCTCTCTCTCACTTCTGTTTGCACAAAAATGGTGATGAACAACATAACCAAGTCCGATGCACACGAGAGAAAGGATGAGGTGGCGATGGATAAAGGTGGAATGTTCGATAATTTTTTCGAATGCATGAGTGAGCAAATGAGAAGAATTGACAGATACCAAGAGGACATGAGCAGAATGATGAACTCACTGAGGTCTCATTATTTTAATGATGAGTTTTCGAGATATTTCCCCACGAGGAGATCCCTCTTAGATTATGATTTCGGGAATTCCAGAAGCAGCGATATGCTTTTTTCCAAACCCCAACGTTTTTTAATGGGAGGACTCAAAAATGTGCCACCCATGGACGTCATTGATAAAGAGAGAGAAATTGAGATAAAAATGGATGTTCCTGGGTTGAACAAAGATAATGTACAAATTAATTTATATAACAGAAATTTGGAAGTTAGTGGAGACTTTAAAAAAACAGAAGAGACGAGGGATGATGAACAGAGGTATTATCTCAAGGAGAGATCACAGACGTCATTTTATAGGTCGTTTCAGCTCCCTGAAAATGTGTGTGAGGACGATATTAAGGCCACCTTTAAGGATGGGGTTTTAAAAATTGACATTCCGAAGAAGGATGTGGTTCCCGAGAAAAAAAAGAAAATCGAAATTCAATGAATGCTGTCCTACTTGGGGACGATGACAATGGCAATTTTGATTCCGCTTGATTTTGTATTTATGTGTTAATTGTGCTATGTGGTATACATTATTTTATTCTTTTTTATGTTTATTTTATTTATTATTATTATTTTTTTTTACTCTGTATTAAACTGTTATGCCTTTTAATAACAAGTGTAACGTTATTGATTACACGTTTTTTTTTCCTAAACAAGATTTATAAGCGTTAAGCAGTAGATGTGTAATTATTATTTCTCCATTTTGTACAAACCCTTGGGGGTTTCATGAAATATATGCGTGGCATGTGTCCCCATGCGTAAATTGGTAAGGCGATTTTTGTGCCCATGTAGACTTCTACATACGTCGAACATATGGATTATGTTAAGGTGTGTTGAACTGGACGTGAAAACATGGGAGTAGTTCCAACAGTTCGATAGCTTCAAATGGAGGAGAGGTGGGGAAATAACCCCTGAAGCATCCAGAAGGAAAAAAAAAAAAAAATAATAATAAAAAATAACAAATTGGAATAATATATCACACTTTGAGGGTGCGGCAGGGAATTGCTTATTTTTTCGAAAGTGCCACGTGGCTGTAAAATGAAGCACACAGAGGACTATAAACATACACAATGGAAATTTGCACGACGGAGAGCTTCTATTTTGGGGGATCAAATGTGAAGCTGCAAAAATAAGTGAAAATACACACAAAAAAAAACAAAGGTTATCTCTCGGTTTTCGAAATGTTAGACACACTATTCTGTAGAATAGTAAAAGCGGCCATTTTTTCCTTTTGGAAAATTTTTACTTTTGTTTTAATGTTAAGAATTCGCTTTCGTGCGAAGGAAGATAAAGCTATTTTCTTTGCAATAAGGCTTTTTTTCCTTCCCTTTTATTTTATTTTTTTTTTTCTCTAGAGTAAGTACCCAGCAATTTGTCATAATTTTATAAAATGGCAGGAGCACAAGGAATGAGGGAGAAGCAAAAGCAAATAGCGGTTGTGCATTTGTACCCAAGGTTATATGTTACATGTTTATAATTAAAAAGCGTCATGTGGTCGATATAAAAAATATAAATTAGAAATACGATTTTCAGAATTGGTTAAGCGCAGAACGCAAAGAGAAATTCGAAAAAAAAATACATTTTATGGAAATCGACATAGAGTTGGCAGAAACAGATCAACTTCATTTTTCGACAAGTACGAACAAAAAAAAAAAAAAAAATAGCGGCAAAATTACCTATTTTGCTGCAACGAATTGTGTCATTACGCCTATGGAATGCATTGTCATTGAATAGTAGGAATGACAAAACAGGTAGGAAGCTTTTAAGAAAAGAAGAAAAAAAAGAAAATATAGAATTCACACGCCTACCTTCTGAAACTGTTTTTGTGATCCACGAAGTAGGCACTTCTCTGATGTTGAAAAATTGCACAGTGAAAAAAACAGACGTAAGCATACACTCATATGAAACATGAGCATATATAATCGTGACCGAATATATGCATATGTTAACACCTGTGTGTATATTTTACGCTGTACCACGCTTAGTTGACACCTGTTTTGTGTTCACTCATCTATCAAACAAGAATAACAATCCTAATTAGATAAGCAGGGTTTTAAAACGGTTACTGGTTAAACGTGCAGTACGTGTGCAAAATTTTAACATCCATGCAAAAGTAGCAGTACTAGTTTGAATTTCTCATGCTTTCGATAGAGTTCAAGGGGGTGGGATAAATACCAGTCTGTAAGTATAAATCCTTTGCAGCTGTACTAGGGGGGAAACACTGCCGTTATGTGATGAGCCCGTAGTGTGTGAATTCGGTCTACGCGTTTCTTTTGTTGGCTAAACTGTAAGGCAGCAAAAGTACCACTTAGCAATTTGCATATCGGCCAAGTTGATAAGTTGCCGAGTTTGTGAACAGACGCTGCCCAGAATGGACCCAGAAAACGAAGTCGTAAAATTGCTGCTCCGCGTGGGGCAGAAAATCAACAAGGGCGCGGAGCAGCTGAAGCCATTTATCAAAATCATTGTGGAAGACAATTGGCTTGATTCTGTGGAGAGTTTGAAGAATCTAGGGGAAGATGAATGGAATAAGCTAAAAATACCCATACGGTTGCTCGACGAAATTAAGAAAGAGTTGGGAATTCACAAGGAAGATGATAAAAATACAGAATATTGTAATAAAGAGCTGACAAACCACATAGGCAAAGTTGGATCGAGTGAAAAGAGGGCCCCGAGAGAGTTAAAACATCAAAATGGTGACGACACGTCCAACTTGAACAGTTTAAATAAGGAACACAGTTTAAGCAATTTGCATAAAAAGCTGAAGAAAGGTGTGATGGACGAATGTGCGAATAGCTACCAAGCATTTCGCGAAGATTGTGAATTGAACAACCAAAGCCCCAGGATAATTAGCACATTAGATGGTACCAATGTGGATGATAAAAACGTGGGTAAAAGGAAAGGTGGAACAGACAAAAGTGTGAAGGTGGCAGAAAATGGGGGAGGAACAAAATGTTCATTTATAAAATATGATAAGGAAAAACTAGAGAACATGATTGAAAATAACATTACACAGATTGACAAAGAGGACATTTTTTACTTGTCCTACGATGAGGAAAATTATACCTGCCGTAGCTATTCGGAGGAGAAAATCAGTACAATTAAAAGCATTAATGAAACGGAGAAGCTGAAAAAAATTGACATGGATGATTTAAAAAATATCATTCCAATTTTGTGCAAAATTGTAAAAAATATTTTAAATAATCCAAATGCTTTAAATACAAGAATTTTGAAGTCTAACAATGATATAATGAAAAAAAAAATATTGATACATCAAGAGGCCAGAAATTTTTTACTCTCCATAGGCTTTGTCGAAGTGCACGTATTTTACGTGATGGAGAGAGTAGACACTTTGTTGTTACTCTGCATTTATGAGAGTTTGCAACATATCGCCAAGGATTCCATAAAAATTGATAGTCCTCCTAAGGCTGCGTTTGACCCCTTTAAATCGAACATTGTCTGTGTGGATACCCTAAAGAAGGGCAAAATAAAAAGCGATGAAGAAATAGACAAGCTGCTGCGCCAGAAGAAGGAGCAAATGGAGAAACTGATGAACCAGGCTGTCGACTTGAATCCAAAAATATATCGCTTTCAGCCAAATGCACCTAAAGGTGGAAGGAATAGTTCGTCAGATTCGGAAAAGGAAGAGCCATCAGAAGACTTAGCATTCCTTATCCCCAATATTAGAAACTTGTACAAAGAACAGACCTTCAAGTCGAAGACCAAACTGCAGTTGGAGAAAATGTCCACAAGAAAGGTTTATTCAAAGGCGGTCTTGAAAATATTGTTCCCTGATTCTTATGTCCTTGAAATGTCCTTTTCGGCTGGGACCCCAATACATGAGGTGAATGAAAATATAAAAAAGGTAAGTCAAGCAAGGGAGTTCTCACGCGTTGGGGAGAGATCAACTTGGGAGAACACTTTTTTTAATCCACTTATTAGGGAGGACACACAAAAAAAATTACATTATTGTGTCTGTCCCCCATTTGTTCGTTAGTTTGCCCTCATTCCTAGTCTATTTTTCGATTTCACTTTTCACGAAGCTACGCGTTTGTATGACTTTCCCCATTTGGTGCAATATTTCCACTTGTCACTTTTCCCTATGTCCTTCTGTTAGTTCCTGAAACCTGCGGTAGCGCCCAAGAAATGGTTCATCTATGAAACTCCGGGGATATGTAAATTTGATCCTCAGAAAAGGCTGTCCGATTGCAACCTGATTCCATCTGCCCTGGTGAGATTTAAAGTAGATCCTGCTCAGCATGATGAAGCTCACAATTCGTTCCTATCTGATGATGCCATTGCCAAGTATTTTGTCAAATCGTGAAAACGGAGTATCGAATGAGGGTCCCAACAGGGAGCATAAAAAATGCCCACGTGACGAATGGTAAATTGGGAAGAACCTTGTTTTCTTTTTTTTTTTTTACTTCCCCCAAATTTTACTATTTTATGTTCTCCTTTATCGCATTTCTGTTACATGGCATTTTGGCCTTACCCATATTAATCACTTCTTATTCTTCTTTTTTTAAAGCATAAGAACACTTATTTTTTTGTATTTTTCCAATGAGTAAATTAACCCCTTTTCTTCCCCTTTTTGAAGTTCCCGCTGCTACACCCTAAATAAGTAGTAGGGCTTTTACACATCAGTGTTAATGTGTCATTTGTGCTTATCGCTTTAGTGTTTATTCACCGATGGCATAATGTTTAATAGCTTCGCATTATAAGAATGGCAAGCTCGGAAGGATGTGACAGGGGTGGAGGTGGCAAACAGGGGGGCTGTATGTCGTCACCAAGCGAGACAGCACACAACGTAAAAAAAACAAATTCGTTTTTGACAAATATGCGAATCCGTCTAGTTAAAAATAAAGTAGTACAATTTCTGGAAAATATTTTGTGCTGAGACAGTTTCGTAATTATTATTATACATTTCATAGTTCAGATAAATATCTTCCATTTTTTTATCATATATGTGATTTTTCTGTGAGAACAACATTTCGAACTCCTTTTTGGACTTTTCAAAATCGTTTTTTGTTTTCCATTTGTCTATTATTAAGTATGTGTTAAAACTGTCTTCACCGTTATGTTCGTTATTTGTGTTTGAGAAGGTGGAATTTTTAAAAATGCTAGTTTCGCAGAATCCCTTGTGTTTTTTATTGATATCCTTAAAATTCTGCACCAAATTTACTAAGTCCTTTTCATTTAAAATGGCCGACTGGGGACCTCCCTTGGTGGCCGTGGTTGTATTATTTTCACTGTGCAGGTGATTGTCCGAGTTCTTCTTATCAGAAATATTTACTTGTCTAACTACGATTACGTCATGATTATTTTTAACCCCATGGATATTCAATTCGTTTTGCCGATATAGCCTGTTCAAGTTCCACCCGATTGTACTGCTTATCAGTACTGTAAGTAGGGAGCCTGTATATTTGCTCATTTTGCGCATGCGGTCATTGGGTCCAGCGAGGGGGGAAAACGCATAGGGTTAGATGCGCTCAGGGAGCACACGATGTATATGGACGGGTGGTGGTGGTACATATAAGCGTATATATTTATATGTGCATATGCAAGCGTGAGTGTGCGAAGGTGCAAAAGGCCTTAGCTGCTTACGCTGTGGACGCGAATGTACACGATCATATTGAAGGCCCAGTTCTCGGAATGTTTTCCATTTGAGCATGCCCTCACGTGGTTACAAAAAGGGCAAATTTTACGAAACGCCGAAGTAGTTATTTATGATGAAGTACAGGGAGAGAACCCTCCTCGGACATGAAAGAAAAAGTGTCTTTTTATTCTGTTAATGTGGAAAATATGCATACAGAACGTTAAATGGGTTTTTTTCATTTATTTTTATTTTCTTAATGTTGCATTGGAATTTTCCGTCTGCTGCGCTAAAGCGGGAATATTGTGTTTGACGCGAAAAAGGGAATATATATATATATTTTTGTTTTTTGTATACATTTGGGGATACACTTTTATGTTCCTTGTTTTGAGTGGGCGACCACTGGGGCGAAACCATTCATCAAACATGAGCGAAAATGAAAAGCATTAAATGGGACTTCATCAAAAAAAGCATTTGCAAAGGTCCTACAACGTTGACTCTTCGCGTTATGTTTGCCCTTTTTTTTTTTTTTTTTTTTTGTTTTCGTGTCATATGTTGCTTTTCGTTTTTTTCACACGGAAAAATTGACGTTATGGTGAACACCATTTTGTAAAAGCAACGCCGACGTCATCATATGTATACAATACCAGAAGGGGAACTTTTTTTTTTGAACAAACTGGCAGAAGCAAAACAGTTAAGGAAAAAAACGGCAAGCGCGTGTTCCAAGGACGGTTCACCAAGCGGAACATGAACACCGAACCGGGATATAACCAGTATGAACACATATATGACCCCTGTGCGAATTTTGTGTAGCACTTAAAAATAAATAAAATGAATAAAAAATATAAATAAACAAAATATCTTGTTTTGAGAAAAATTCACTGTTGTGCTAATTAGCTGTTTATGGGCTTTTTAAAATGTAGTTACTTTCACGTTGGGGGTGCCAAACATTATGACGATTTTTGGAAATGGCAAGAATGGAAAATAAAAAACGCAGCAAAAATTTGCGCAACATGGATATTTACACACACGCATAAGGAGCAGCAAAAGTTTAATCCTTTTTAGCGAAGCGTAGCCACCGCAATAATGGCAAGGAACAATTGGCAAGCAAATGGCATGTGGCGCATTACACTTGTGAAATGACAAAGGGCAACTTTGTAAAAGTCAACACACGGATGCCAGTGCATACTTGCTTTGCATTACCGAATTCCAGACATGCTGGAGGAGCACGTGTATGCTTATATACGGCTCGGAGTGAAGAGTTTTTAAATTTTCCTCTTTTACTCATTTTTTCCATTTTAGCGTATACACAATATTCTTGTTCCTCCGTTCGGTGCCCTTCACAATTGTGCATGCGTATTACACATATGACCTGAAATAGTGCTTATCACTTTATATGTGTATGTTTACGCGTTTGTGCACCTAAACATTTTGCACATTTTCCTCGTAGCCCAGGTTGCTAATTGTCCCACTTTCTTTATTGCCCAAGTTAAAATTGCTTTCGCGAACATAAAGTCTGGATAACATGCCAAAATGCTCCTGCGGTGACGCAAAAATATATGCATTTACACGTGTATATATACTTCAGCAATCTTTTTTAGAATGTTCCTAAAGAGGACTTAGTTTTTTTTTTTTTTTTTTTTTTTTTTTTTGCTTTCATGCTACTACAAAAGAAAACGTAAAAAAGAAACCAGCTGGACCCGCGCCGATAAGGAACAAAATTAAAAAACCATTTCCATTTCGGGCTTTCTCAAGCACTTTTTATAAGAGCTTTTTTTTTTTTTTTTTTTTTTTTTTTTTTTTTCCATTTTGAATGTATTGTTTTTTACATGGCACTTCATTTTGGTTACTGGGGTTATTAGTCTCTTTTAGTTAACCTGATGAATATGGCCATACCGTGCGCGTTTCATTAGTGTACAAATATAAAAAATAGTAATATTGGTGGAATTGCTTTCTTTTTTTAACGTGCCCAATGTTTTGACCTTCGGCGTGTCTGCTCATTTTCGTACGTTGACAAGGAAAGAGTCTTATGGCGAAGGTGGCATGTACATGCATGTGCATACGCATTAGTGCACAATTTGTTTATGCTGTTTTTATAATCCATGTGGCTAGATTCTCGTTCTTTAAGATTATACGTTAGGATATATTTTGTCACCGTTCTGTATTGTTCCTTCACCTGTGTGCTTTGTGTTTTTTCGCCGCTGCGTAGTTTTGTTTGTCCCATTTTAGTGAAATTTTCAACAACTTTTCGCTATACTAACTTATCTTTATATTTAAAATGTCTTATGAATCCTTTACGCTCAAGGACAACGGGGAATGCCTAAAGCGCAACTACGACTGCGACGAGCTAGATTTCAATGACGATGATGACATTGTGAACATGACAAGTTTCGAGAAAAATACGTATAACTACAATTTGAAGAACAAGATAATTAATCGTTATAAGAAGGAAAAGGATGAGCTGGATACCCTTTCGAGAATGGAAAACTCGGTAAATAATTCCACTTTTACAAATAGGGAAAGATATTTTTTGAATGACGACAACACGGAATTGAAGGCCAGGATACGTAACTCGCTGTGTAACAGCAACAACAACTCGAGCGGTCAGAGCAACCACGATAATTACAACCTGACTTACAACATGGACCCAGCGAAGAGGGAGTCCAACCTTAAATTGGAAGGAATACTGCACGAAAATGATTACCTAATTCAACTAAGCAAATTAAAAAGACATGTCATAGTAGAAATTTTTGGTGGAAAGTGTTTTATAAGGGAATATTTATGCACTGAATTTTTGAAAAGAGTGAAACAATGTTGCCACATAAATTATATAAAACAGAAGAGTGGCTTAATAAACTATCGAGATTGTAAGCAACTTCTTGCAGAAAATAATAATATAGCCAGCATAGAAGCCCGGTTAAATGCCATTCTTGTATCCCTTCCTCCGTTAACATGCATCATCTTACACTCTAGTGTGTTCCTAGTAATAAAAGAGGATTTAATTCGCGATGATCTAATTAGGAAACTATGTAATGTCTCCAAAAAATATACCAATTTGTACAAAGCTAACGCCAAGATTATGGAGAAAAGACCCTTTGAATTTAGTGCCTTAGAATGTGTTTTCGCAAGTACCATTGAGCATTTAAATGCAGAAATGAAACTCTTAAGTAAAGATTTTGCAGATATTAAATTTACTTTAAAAGTTACGAATTATCAGGATGTGTTGACGAATTTACACAACTTAAAAGAACCAACCAATATTTTAATAAATAAAGTAAATTCCTTCATTAAGGCTTTTCATGAAATATCAGAAAATAATGGGGACTTGAAAAAAATGGAATTAACCAAGTGTTATTTTAATCCTATTAATGGGGAGGAAGACAACAAGGAGTCAACGAATCAGGACTTGCAAATGCTCCTCGAATATTTTGACCAAGAACTGCATCAGATACATGATCAAGCGAAGCATTTACATGAGTTAATGCAGAACTTGGAAAACAAAATAGTATCCGATTTGTCTCTTTCTAGGAACAATTTGATACGTATGGACATAGTTATCAGCTTAATTAATTCCGGCTTTGGCATAGGAACACTCATAACAGGTTAGTTATTGTGCTCTTCGCTCACCTTTTGAGGAAATGCCTTAATTATGCTTGCCTATATGTGGGGTATAAAGGTGTAGCGGTGTAGACAGCATGGAAAAATGTCGCATATTTGCTTCTCATATAAGGTAAGGACGAACGAGTTATCACATTTGATGCCTTTTTTTTTTTTTTCCTTTTTTTTTGTAGGAGTTTTTGGAATGAACTTGAAAATAAAGCTGGAGCAACACGAATTCGCCTTTGTCTATGTCACGGGGCTCGTCATTGTTTTATGTTTGATAACTGTAGTTATGTCTGTTTATTTTTTTAAGTGTATTCGAATTTAGCTGAGTTGCAGCGAGCGCTGAACTTATTTTGGAAATGCTACGTAGCTGTTGGAATTGGTAACAAATGCGCCTGGTGCGTGTGCGCAAAGGCGCCACATAAATGTGTGCGTGTGTAACGACATGTCCCTGAATGGGAGCGTGTGCAAGCGTGCCTATGCGCATGTACTCGTGTGCACGTACCCTCGCAAGGGAGCATGTACTTATATGCGTACTCACTATCACACCGGCGAGCGGACTCCCCCCCTCTTTTCGGTTTAGTGGTAAAAAAAATTGAGCACCATAATTTAAATACCTCGTACATGAACTTGTGGGGAATAGCTGAGTAGTAGTTTTGCCTCGATTTACACACAAATTGAATGCTCCAGTAATGGGGAACATAAAACATTTTATCATTTTTATTTTCTTCTCGCACTTTTATTATTTTTCAATTTAAGTCTTATACATTGTTATTTTAATCATTTTGCATTTAATGGGACATAAAGAAAAAAAAAAAAATCTCCTTTTTGTAACACATTTTACACTTTCTCCTTTTAAGCTTCCTCAAAATACGCGCTGTTTCATTTACAGTCCTTGTTTTTTATTTTATTTTATTTTTTTTTTTTTGCATAATTCTTCGCCCCCTTTTTTAGTAAAATTGAACAAATTTAAAATTACACAAAAGGGAAAAACTTTTTTTGAAGTAACATGTGCCTTTAGAGTTTATTATTACTATTTTTTTGTGTGTGTGTGTTTTTTTTTTTTCCCCCCTTTTCGCCTTTCTGCTATAGATGCATTTTTACACGCATACATGTAGTGTGTATATATCCACGCATATAAGCAAATGTGTATTTTTTTTTTTTTTCCCCTCCTGCGAAGTATTTCGTTTTTTTATTGATATACACATAATTATATTTTTAAATGTAGCGTAATTTTCCCCATCTCCTTTATGCTCTCTTGTTTTTTTCGTATACTATTGGCTTTTTTAATGATATTCTGCTAGAGAATGTAGAAAATTCTTTCCCTTTTTAAAAAAATTATTCCAAATTAGTGACAAATTTAAGGAAAAAGAACTTCGCATATGTGTGTGAACAACATATAAGAAGATTTATAAACACCTTTTGAAGATTTTCTCATGTAATCTCTCTTTTTTTTTTTTTTTTTTTTTTTACACTTCAATATTTGAAATTACCTTGGCTATTTTTTTTTTTTTTTTTTTTTTAAACAATTTCATTTTTTAAGTTTTATTAATTATGGAAAAGGCACTTAAGCAAGTAACTTTAGAGTGAGTTTTTAATAAATAAAAAGATAAGCATATTTTGTTAGTCATTCTCATGTGAACTTAAGAAATGTGTATAAAGAGTGAGAGAAAGATATCGTACCTGGAAAAAAATGGGCTATGATATGGGGTGAACGAACGTCAGCAATGCACTGAGTGTACAGCCGGCAGTCATGTGGCGAGTGTCCCCAGGGATATGCAAGAGGCTGCGCGAAGTGCTTTTCATGATTCTATTTGTACGCTTAGGCATGATCAAGCTGCCTGTTGCGGCGAGACCAATGGCTGCGGGCACCATTACATATTCCCTCAATAGCCTGTGCGTGCATATGTATAGGCAGTTGCGCTAACATGAAATTGCTTGTGCTACTCCTCATAGCGAGAATGCTTTTGTGCAAAATTAACAGTTGCATGAGAAGAGAATACGCTTATATAATACCCTTTATGCAAAAGAATAAATTCTACAAGCGCAAAACAGTTTTCAACGTGAAAGTTTTTACCAACTTTACAAACATTGCATCGAATAGACACAGCGATTTTTTGTATGGACATTTTAAGTTTTAAAAGAGAGAAAAAATGATGAGAGTGCGAAATGGGGGAAAGCACCATTTGCTCAGCAATAGCTATTGACCTCTGTTTCTGTGCATGCAGAGCAGATGAAAAAATAAAATGTACATATATATATGTGCGTGTGCGTTTGTGTGTCTGCGTATGTAGAGGCACCCCTGTTTTGAGCCTTGAACAACATGCGAGTCCATTTTGACAGATCGAGATGCATACAACATCGTGCTGTCATACACGTAGTACCATTTGCCGTCTGTACATCTGTACACAACCGCTGCAAGTGTAGTAAGATTAATCACTTTGCCTTTTTTCATTTTCCGCCTCTGCAGGAAATGCTTTTCCTTCCCGAAGAAAACAATGGATGAACAGAAGGATGAAACAGACGTTAAGGAGGAATCCAAAATGAAGAAGGAGGAGAAAGAAACAACCAAGAGAAAAATAACAAGTGATGGAAACACAAAAGCGAAAAAGGCTAAAGGGAAGAGCGAAAATGATATAAAAAAAGGGTCCCTATTTAATTGCAGCGTTACGGAAGATGATAAAGTGAGCGACCTGACATCGCCCAAATTTAACCCCGTACATTTTGATGTAAGTAATTTATACCTTTCGCCAAAGGATAAAGAAAAACACAAGTTTAAAGATTCATTATTGTTCACTTTTCTCACAAATACATTTAATCAAATAGAAGAATTAAAGGGAAGTGGAACTGGTAGCAAGAAAAATGTGGCAATTATCTTGTCCAATGTTTTTAGAGTTTTAATATACTACAGTCCCAACGATTTAATTCCAGCTGTGTACATAACGCTAAACAAAGTAGCACCTGATTATTTAAATGTTGAAGCCGGTGTAGGAGAAGCTTTGATTTTGAAAACAATGTCTGAGGCGTATAGTAGAACTGAATCAAGCATAAAAAAAGATTTACAACAAATTGAGGATCTTGGTATAATAGCAGAAAGTTGTTCTTGCAAGATGAGGACTATTTTTCCTTTGCCTCGTTTGACTATCCAGTCAGTGTTTAATGAACTGAAGAGCATACCCAATTTGAGTGGTTCTAATTCGCAGCAGAAAAAGAGAGAAGTAATTAAGAAGTTGTTGGTGAGTGCGAAAACTAGTGAAGCGAAATATATTGTTCGCTTTTTACAACAGCGATTGAGAATCGGGGTGAACAGCGCTACTGTGTTGCAGGCCCTATCTTATGCTTTTATTATAACGCGTCCATCCATTCCGGAAGAAATTGTGCAAAAGGGGAAATTGATGAACGAGCAACTTCTAAGCGGGAAAGGAAGTGGCATTGGGCAAGATAGCACTGTTAGCGGCACCACAACGGAGGATGATATGAATAAGTTGAAGGGGGAAAAGGAAGGGGTGGTCAAGGTGGAGAAGACAAATGAGGAGAGTCCTTCTAACATAAAGAAGGAAAAAGAAAATCAGAGCGTGCCCGACCACTTCGACTTCGAGGCGCTAGTCCAGTCCATCAAAATAAGAAATGAAAAAATAAGCAAGCCAAATTTGTTTTACGACATAGGGAAGGAAGGAGACACACGTTTGTTACCCATATTTAAGGAATTAAAGAAAAGCTACTGCGGAGCTAATGACGATTCGGACATTTTTGAGTGCATGGAAAAATCAGTCAAGAGCGCCCTCTGTGAGTTGCCCAATATCGAAATTATCATTCAGAATTTGTTAAGTGGAGATGACATGAACACATTAAGCAAGAAGTGCACAGTTAAGGCTGGGTTACCCGTGCAACCTATGTTAGCCAAGCCGACGAAAGGAATACAAGAAGTACTTGACCGATTTAACAATGTTACATTCACGTGTGAGTATAAATATGATGGAGAAAGGGCTCAAATACATTACATAGATAAAGACAATATAAAAATATTTAGCCGGAACTTAGAAACCATGACAGAGAAGTATCCGGATGTTATTCAAATAGTGCGGGATCAAATTATCAGCGGTGCTAAAGAGTGCATTATTGACAGCGAAGTTGTGGCTTATGACATAGAGAATAAAAAGATATTACCATTTCAGGTGTTGACCACGAGAAAGAGAAAAGATGTGGACATTGAAAATATAAAGGTAAAAATATGCCTGTTTCCGTTTGACCTTATTTGTTGTAATGGTGTGCCCGTTATTAAAGAACCGCTAGAAATTAGGAGGAAACTTTTGTATTCACTACTGAAATGTAAGGATGGAGTGTTGTGTTATGCAACTCACTCGGAAATGAATAATATAGAAGATATAGATATATTTTTACAAGATGCAATTGAGAATAATTGTGAAGGACTAATGGTGAAAACGCTGCTGGATAATGCGTCTTACGAACCATCAAGAAGATCATTAAATTGGTTGAAGGTAAAAAAGGATTATATAGAAGGACTATCAGACTCGGTAGATTTAGTACCCATAGCCGGTTATTATGGGAAAGGAAAAAGAAGTGGAGTGTATGGTGCATTCGTTTTAGCCACGTACAACTCAGAAACTGAAAATTTCCAAACAGTGTGTAAAGCAGGCACCGGTTTTAGTGATGAAATTCTTGGCTCATTATACGAAACTTTGAGTGATAAAATTATACCAAACAAAAAATCCTATTACGAAGTTTCGGATAAGTTAAATCCCGATGTGTGGTTTGATGCACATTACGTATGGGAGGTGAAAGCGGCAGACTTGTCTCTCTCACCTGTGCATACGGCAGCCATTGGGGTTTATTCGGATGACAAGGGCATTGGCTTGCGCTTTCCCCGGTTTCTGAGGCTCAGGGAGGATAAGAATGCTGAGCAGGCTACCACCTCGCAACAGATTGTTGACTTATACGAGGCACAATTTACGTACAACAAAAATAAAAACGACTTTAATGAGGAAAGTGAAAGTGAATGAGGAGGGAGCGTATCCTTCTTGGGGTTAGTCGCTCGTATGTTTTTTGGGAGGAATGTCGCCCGCAAATTGTGCCCGTTTAATTGCTCCTGATTGAAGTTTTATTTCTCATAGCAGGAGGGAAGTGCCCTCAGGATGTTAGCCATAGCCCATGTCGCCGCATTTACAAATACATACATTGCACGTAAGCGAAGAAATAAGAGTGGTTTGCGTATGCGCATACGAAGTTATGCTGTGTTTATTGTGGCCAAGGCGAAAACGATAAAGGGGTAACAACGAACTGTGGTATTTATTTCTGTGTCATACGGATGATATCAGCGCAGGTGCTTGGATCCACCATACCAATGTTATGTATCACATTGACAGCGTTGCGTGAACGAATTTTTGGAGTTCCGCCTGTATATATAAAAAATGGAGAATATTCCCCCTTGTTAAAAAATGGAAATTTAGCTCTTTGCGTCCCATTTGTCTTATTTTTTTTTTATCGCATTTTCTTTTTTCTTTTTTTTTTTTTGGCGCATTATTCGTTCAGCATGTTTGTATTATATGTCATTTTCCGAATGAAGTTTTCCCCAGAGAAATTATTCACGCACTGGCACAGACGTTTGTGTATATATACCCTTGACAACAAGTGCCCAGTTCCTCTTCCATTACATTCTTGCCACCACCATTTGATTATATTATATGCTTATTGAACATAAGAGGGAATGCGTGTGGTCTAATTTTTTTTTTTATTTGTTCCTGCATAGTAACTCAGCGCATGTATTGCCTGAAAAGAACTTTTAAATACGGCGCATGGTTTTAAAGAAAAATAGTGCCACCTTTGGTGTCTCTTCAATTATTGGTACGTTGGATGAAGGACGAGGGTACAACAGAGTATACACTCCTAGCAGTTTGCCTCGTGCATGAGATCATCGTGTGCGTGGGAAAAGTATAACTGCATGAAAGGCCTTTTCTCACAATCGCTTTGAGGTTCCCTTTTCTGCGAAATTACAGCGAACAGGAGATACGTACCACAGCATTATATGTGTACTTATGTGCGCGTCCATTTTGTCTGGTTTGTGGAAGAAGGCAAACGTAGTTGCATCTGGCGCACTCCTAAAGGGTGTAAAATGAAATATATTTCCCAATAAAAAATAGCGCGTTGACTTGTTAAACTTTTTTTTTTTGTTTTTTTTTTTTGTGTGTTTCTTCCTTTTTGCATAAACTGGCTACAAATTGCGAGAAGATTAAGGACAAGAAGAAGTGGAAAATGAGTGGGAAAATAAAAAGAACACTACGCGTGTAAAAATGCGCATAACGAAGGATATGTGAGCGGATATATACATTTACAAAAGTGGAAAAAAAAAAAAAAAAATTATCCATGGACGCAGGATGTACAAGTTTATGCTCCATTTTGCGCTTGTCATATTTGAAGGAAAAACCCCGTTTTGGCAATATTTAAATTTATTTATCATTTTTTTTTTTTTACATTGTGTAAAAAACTTCTTTTAGCGCTCATTATCATTCGTCCATTTTGAACTTTCTGCCGAATGATGTAACACAAAAATGAAACATGTGCAAAAGTATATTCTGCAGTTAGCCATACTTTAACTCGCAAAGGAAATTTTTGCGAACAAAATGACCCTTGGCGCTGACGTCGAGTCATTGTTGTGCATGTGGATGTGCATATGTACATATGCTTATGTGATCAACTGCATATACGCTTAACTCTCCGTGGAAGTAAAAATTACACACCTCTGGAATGACGAGGAACAAAAAGACAAAAGCGTGGAACATCAGTGAATTAGTAACCGCATGTGTTTGTATTGTACGTGGTTATGCACGTATACGTAACAGCAATTTTTTTTTTTTTTAATACATATGAAAAGGTGAAGATTTTCCGAGTTGCATTTATTTACCAAGAGAATGAAAAAAAAAGAGAATTGAACACTATATAAAGGCTGTGGACATATTTTGCTATTACCCATCTGAATTAAGAAGCTCACGGGTAGACCTTTTTTGTTTTATTTTATTTTTTTTCGTTGCAAATTTAAAGAAAGCCTTTTTTTTTTGCCTAAGGGGGTAACTAACCTTTTGAGCCACAACGTTGTAGAGAGGCCAAACGGATCAACAGAACGTCTGATCAAATACAAACCTGAAGCATGCCTAGAGGGGTTGTTTATGTTTACCCATTTGAGAATATAGTCCCGTGGGTGCAACGGTTGAGGGTTAGCAATATACGTAGACACACTCAACACAGCAACACGGAAAAAGTGAAAGAATGAAAAAGCTGGGAGTTAACACGAAAGCCGGGGCAAACCTATCGAGGATAAATGAAAATGAAAACCTTTTTAAGAAGCCCATAGAATTTAACAAGAACATAAGAAGGCTGTCCTTTTTAAATAATAAAAATAATGATGATAATCAGAAGGATCATGTGGATAAGTGTGATAAAACGAAGGTGAAAGAAATAAATGACGTTTTTAAAAATTGCATGGTAGCACTGTCCCATAATAAAATATGTACAAGGAACGCATTCGACATAAGGATTATTGATCATTTGGAAGATTTAGTGAATTTAAATGATGAAGAAATCAATGAAGAGCTAAATGATGAAATGTTGGAAACGGGGGATTTTAATCTGTCCTTCACAAGAGCGTCTAAAGCGATTGAGGGAGCTACGAAAGTGTATGGATATAGAGTAGAAGCCATTTATGACCAGACCTACAATTTTTTAAGCAATATGAATATAGCAAAGCAGAGCGACATGAATGAAGAATTAATAGAAGAAAAAAAAAATGCAAACGAGATTTCAAATAGAAAAATAAAAAAAAGGAAGTTAGAATTTTTGCAGGAGTCATCAACTTTGGCCAAGTCGTCCGACATTACTATGGATTCGGTTACCGTGTCAAATATATCGGTCGACACCTTCTTTTTAAAATTGAACAGTACATATGATCACTCGTCAGGCAATAGTTATTTGTTGCCGAACTTAATTTTGAATAACGATTTGTCTATACAGTTTGATGGGGACATAGACGCGTGTGAATATAAGAAGAGGAAAAAAATGGAGGACGCAAATGAGGAAGGGATGGATGAAGACACGGCTGCTACGCAAACGAGTTGCAAATCGCCCCTTATGGTGCGAAGTAGCAGCATGCAAGAGAGCGACTGCAGTGATGTAATGGTTAAGTGCTACAAGAAAAAATTGTTTCTCCATTCTGATGTATTGAGGGATATCCTGTTAGGTGGGGGAAATGAAGACTTTAACAGCCTGAATATTTGCCCCGAGTTGGATTATTTTAAGGCTGAAATAAGTAAGCACAAAATGAAGAGATCGGATTCGAAGGAATTTGAAGATGGAGAGCAGGGCAACGACGCAGAAGACGATGATGAGGATGATGATGACCATAAGTATGATTACAACTTGAATGAGGCGGAAAATATGAGGATGTATAAAGGGGACTGTTATGGAGGGGAAGGTGCTAAAAATAACTTAGCACTAAGTCTAGGTGGAAACCTTGCAATGGACAATTTACTCGACGATAACGATTTTAATAGTGCAAGTGTGAGCGATGGAAGGATGCTGAACAGCAGTGTGAATAACAACAGTATGCATTTCAGTGATTACAAAATAGAAGATTTGAACATAGAAAATGTGATGCAAGAATCGCTAGCTTTTGATAATATGAATTTGAACGATTGTATAGGAAATAATTTAAATTATTCCCAAAGTATTTTATCATTTCATCAAGGAAGTAATACGATGACGGGCCTTCCGTTACCAGAACTCATGAAGAGTGAAAATAAAGATTTCAGTCTAATGAACTCCTTAGGGGGAAATTTCCCCATGAGTACACAGAATTCTTTGTTTTTTAAAAACCAAGGAGGAAGTCCCACGAGAAAAAGTCTAATATCAACCATTCCAGATGAAGACACTCTATGGAATCGCAATGTGATGACTTTTGAAAACAGACTTAATGCGATAGACGTAAACAACAAATTTAATTATCATTATTATGTTCCTAGTAAGCTAATAGCCCATGGCAATTTTAGGAATCTAATGGATATAGGTAAAGGGACTCATAAGAATAAAAACACGGTACTACACTCGGTAGTACAGAAGAAGGTAAAGGCTTCCTTCGATGTGTCACTTATTGATTTTGAAAATTTGTATAAAGAAATAAATGACGTAGAATTATCTACGTACGATTTATGGAAGAAGGAAAAAAAGAAGTACGTGTCGAATGCCCTTTTCTCCATCGATCAAACTTCGTACATATTTGAAACGAAGGATAACTGCATTAATTGCGTCAACACGGTTACGGATAGAATTATGAAGTTTTCCAAAGCGGCAATGATTACACCGAGTAATTACAATGGCGACCTTAAATTAAATGTCGTTCTGAACGAAGTGAGCTCCGATTTTGTGGCAAATGACATGGGCTATATGAACTACGCAGAAGGGAAAAATATGGGAAGCATGTTTCCGGAGCATATGGACGATCACCAGGATTGTCACATGCAGGAAGGGCTAAATGACGCCATCGATAAATTCTATAACATGGACTTTGAGGATATATGGCAGAACGAAAATGAAAATAATTTATCCAAGCAGGGCAGCAAGATTGAGAATGCGTCTGCTTTGCAGCTCCGCCAAAGTGTTTCTCGCGGCAGTACACTTGGACATGCGAACATGGAGAATGTAGCAAAATTTGTGGATGTCTCGAAAATAAAGAAAATGTTGTGCGACATTGTAAAGCCCGCGGAGAACGAGACGAGTGACGCGCAGGGTCGAGCGCAGCAGAACGACCAGGTGAGTTAGCGTAGTGTTATCGACGGAGCTAGTGCAGTACCTGAACACACGCATTAGTGAATACGTTTGTACGAACTGGAGTTGTCCCTTATTTTCCTCCCCCCCTCTTCTCCATCATATGTTTAGATTGTGCCCTACGTTGAGGAAAAGACGACAACTTTTAAGGACATTGTCAACGCGGTAAATTGCGCCTTGCGTCGTGCATGCATCGATACGTATCCATATGCGCTGCCACCCGCCTGCATTAACGTACTTTGCATACTACACGTGCGTACTATACACCCAAAATGCGTCCCTTTCCCGCAGACCAAATCAAGGATGAATCCAGCAGAGGTGAACGGTACATCCATCCACATGCTCTTCGTGTGTCTGCTGTACACGTGCAACGATCAAGGTAAGATATTCGAATTCGTGAGAAAGGCGAAGTAACAAAAAAAAAAAAAAAAAAAAAGAGGCTGCAAATAAATATATTCAAGGGTGACGTATTTCCGAGGGGAGCACCCCTGGGGTGTTTCACATTCCGCAGTTTTGCCATCCCTTCTTTTTGCTTGTTCATGTCAGTTTGCAAGTGACGCTTTAGAGCAAGTGTGGTATTTTTTAAGCAGTTTGTACGCCCCAATTGTTGACATAATGCTTTTTCTTTTTCTTTTTTTTTTTTTTT